CTAGCCAACTATGGCTAACTTACAGTCATGTCAAACAGTGCAGCCAGAATAACAACAAAGTAGCTGCATTTGCATTTATTTAAGCTGTTTTCTAGTGACATTTATTTGGATACATGCAGAAGAATGAGCTAATGATGCGTGATTTCACCTGGCATAGAAAATGTTCTCTCTCGTCAGGACACTGTTGTTCAGAGGAGCTAGCCAACAACACAGCTAACACAATCACTTCAAGCAGAAGCTGGTAAGACTGCAAACTAGCTGCATTTCATTTCATTTGACCTTTTTTCATTTTTTTCTTTCTATATATCCATAAAAATGATGCCAGCTGATTCATGATTTCAACTGGCTGAGAAACGTTGCCTGTTTGTCTGTCTCATCCAGACTCCTGACACGTTCATTACTATGGGACAGCTGGAGATCGAATTTGAATATTGAAACAATGTTGCAAATGTCGGAGAGGCAGACAGCAAGGTATATACAAATCTCCGCTGTTGAAAACGAAATGTTAGTCTAAAAGAAATGTGCGATAATGTCTAATGTCTTTTTATAGTGGAGATCAAGTTTATAAATTGTCTGGCTGTGCTGATGAGACAGTGGATTGCGCAGTCAGATGGAACAGAGTAAATAGGCATTTTAACGTCATAGATTTAGCCGGTGGTAACTTGTGGAATAGACACCAGCTGGAATGCGGTTTTAACCAATCAGCATTCAGGATTAGAACCACCGTTGTATAAACCACATTGTAAACTGGGTGGTTTGAGCCCTGAATGCTGATTGGCTGACAGCCGTGGTATATCAGACCGTAGACCATGGGTATGACAAAACATGTATTTTTACTGCTCTAATTACATTGGTAACCAGTTTATAATAGCAATAAGGCACCTCAGGGGTTTGTGGTATATGGCCAATATACCACGGCTAAGGGCTGTATCCAGGCACTCAGCGTTGCATCGTGCTTAAGAACATCCCTTAGCCGTGGTATATTGGCCATATACCACACCCCCTCGTGCGTTATTGCTTAAATAACGCATTATGACATCACAATGAGGAACCCTCACAAGGACACGACAGAATATCCCATTTGTATCATGTTTTTCCTGGAGAGGTAAGGTAGGATTTTGGAAGATATTGAGTGCCTGGTCCCATGTTTATGGTCAAAAGTCCCAGGGAGGGGTTTATGCATAATGACATCAGTCAACTTTTGTCTGAAAGACCTAATGTTTGAAGTTCCTTTCTTCTTTAAGATATTTTCTAAATACAAGTACCTGTTGATGTAGCCATGCAGATTCATGCTTGATGGAAGATGATAAAGGTAGTCTACAGTTGCTGAGGTGGTTGGTGTGGTCTGTTCGGGCAGAGGGTTCGAGGAGCTGCCCCCAGAGGTAACTGATGGATCCCAGTGATTGAAGGAGGGGTGTTTGTGGAGCTCTTAACTTCTTTGAACGTTCTCTAGCTGAATACCCCAGAATGAGGACATCATGGCAGGTCACTGCTGGCCCTGGAATCCTGCCAATAAATAGAAAATACAGTCAACCAATAGGAGATGAAGAGAGGAGGAATCAGCTTGACTGACAGCCTATAAGGAGTCACAACTCATGCAACTGATAAGCTCCCTTAACTGGGACCTGACTGGTTACTGCACCATCAATCAAACATGGGTGGGTGTTAGATAAAGAGTTGCTTACATAAACAATTATCATGCCTCTGGATTATGCAGGGAGGTGTGCATGGTGAGCTCCATCAAATTGTCTACATGGGCTATTTGTTCAAATCCTTATCTTATTATCCTCACAGACATTGGAAATCAGGCCAGATTACAGAATGGCTCTATCATGTGCATCTAGGCCAGATTAAAAAGCAAGCAAGTGAAATTTGAATAAAACCAAACAAATGACAAAAATAAGGAAACATGAAAGGGAGACATGTTTCCATAGAGACATGCAAATCACAGTTTGGGAGAGTGGGGGATAGGCAGGCTGGTGTTTGAACTACTTTAGTGCAATTGTTTGTGTTTGTGTGTGTGTGTGTGTGTGTGTGTGTGTGTGTGTGTGTGTGTGTGTGTGTGTGTGTGTGTGTGTGTGTGTGTGTGTGTGTGTGTGTGTGTGTGTGTGTGTGTGTGTGTGTGTGTAGGGCTATTTGGTACTATGTCTACGGAGGCCACAGTTAGCCTGTGTTAGTTAGACTGTGGCCGCTGCCTGACACCATGCTGATCATAATTGAAATGTTTTCCCTTGTATTGGGCCAGTGATAAGAGGTGGCTGCTGGGGAGCAGGGGCATAGCTCAAATGTGATGTGTGTGGGTGTGACAGAGGGACTGGATGCAGCCACTGCTCTGAGGCAGGTGTACACCCTGAGAGCTCAGGACCAGGACAGTGCATTCCTTAATCCTCTACTTTATTTGTGTTTAGTGCTTTGCCATGAGTCTCTGCCAAACAAACCACATATTGTCATTATTGCTCTGACCTGGCAGACACTTTGGGCCTAATCTCAGCTGTCAGTGAGTGATTGGTTTCCCGCTTTAGAGAGATTTCCCAATCTAATGTTCATAGCTCACAGATGCATCACAATGAAGGTCAATGGGAAGGAGGGTGTGCAGTGCGTGTTAGGGGAAGGGGACAGTGGGAAGGAGGGTGTGCAGTGCGTGTTAGGGGAAGGGGACAGTGGGAAGGAGGGTGTGCAGTGCGTGTTAGGGGAAGGGGACAGTGGGAAGGAGGGTGTGCAGTGCGTGTTAGGGGAAGGGGACAGTGGGAAGGAGGGTGTGCAGTGCGTGTTAGGGGAAGGGGACAGTGGGAAGGAGGGTGTGCAGTGCGTGTTAGGGGACGGGGACAGTGGGAAGGAGGGTGTGCAGTGCGTGTTAGGGGAAGGGGACAGTGGGAAGGAGGGTGTGCAGTGCGTGTTAGGGGAAGGGGACAGTGGGAAGGAGGGTGTGCAGTGCGTGTTAGGGGACGGGGACAGTGGGAAGGAGGGTGTGCAGTGCGTGTTAGGGGAAGGGGACAGTGGGAAGGAGGGTGTGCAGTGCGTGTTAGGGGAAGGGGACAGTGGGAAGGAGGGTGTGTATTGCGTGTTAGGGGACGGGGACAGTGGGAAGGAGGGTGTGCAGTGCGTGTTAGGGGACGGGGACAGTGGGAAGGAGGGTGTGCAGTGCGTGTTAGGGGAAGGGGACAGTGGGAAGGAGGGTGTGCAGTGCGTGTTAGGGGAAGGGGACAGTGGGAAGGAGGGTGTGCAGTGCGTGTTAGGGGAAGGGGACAGACGAAACATAGAGAAAGGGAGAGACCACACTCTTACAAAAAAAGGTGCTATCTAGAACCAAAAAGGGTTATTCAACTGTCCCCATAGGAGAACACTTTGAAGAAACCTTTTTGGTTCCATGTAGAACCCTCTTGGGTTCCATGTAGAATCTGCTGTGGAAAGGGTTCTACCTGAAACCAAAAAGGGTTCTCCTATGGGGACAACCGAAGAACCCTTTTGGAACCCTTTTTTCTAGGAGTGCAGGAATTCATTGTCCTTTCTCTGCATCCTCTCTGAGAATCAATGTCTGTCTGCTCTTTGCTGACATTTTATAATCCATGCCCCCTTTTAAAAAGGACACTGAACTCTGCCTACACAGATCACCCCACATTTGGGGTGATAAAAGTGACAATTAGACATCCTGCCATTAGAGCAGAACAGAGAAAATTGCACCAAAACAACAGGCCTAGAAACATAAGTCTAGTTTGAGCCACACAAATCACAGTGATCCTACAACATGCTACCAGCAACCAGCATACCTCCAGCTGTAGAATGGGATTCCTTTCATTTTGAGTACTTTAGAATAGAAAAAGAGAAAGATTCAATGGTCAGAGTCCAAAACACACACACTTTTCAAAAACACACGCTCCACTAATCCAATCCATCCCTTGTTAGTTTTCATGCCATGTCAGTACAATGGAGAGGAGACTCTGCCTTGTCCCTAAATCAGAGCTGAAATTAATTAATTAATTCTTATTGGGCCTGCAACCAGAAAAAAAAATGCACTAACACAAATCTACACAAATGTCATTAGAATAAACACACAATGTCATACAATGTTTAGCCAACACTGACATTCCCATTAACATTACACTGTACAAAGCTTAACTGTGAAATAGTTCACTTGAGTCCATTCTTCTCCCCCGGGTTAGTTTTATTATTACATAAACCCCAGTCCTGGTTTTCAATTCACTGACCTCAAAGAGTTGTAGTGTCTGAGACAACAGCATACAGACAATCTTGGAAAGCAATGTTTTTTTATATATTAAAATTGCATGAACTGCAAGCAAAGAAGGAGAGGAAGTGGCAGCAACATGACTTGGGAATTAGCATGGCTCAATGACTTACATAACCAATTGGAGTGAATGGCTGCAGGGAAAATTAAACGCAAATAAGTATTTCTGTTAATGTCTGCAAAACACACAGTAATAGCCTACTTGTGTCCATACACCGCAGGACTAGAGCAGAGCATAACACTATAAAACCTGCAGACATCCCATAGATCCTTAGAAATAAAGGGGTTTATTTAACAAACCAACCTCAAGCATCCTCTCTTTGGGAAACCCTGGTCAGAGAAGTAGTTATAAATAGTACACTACTCTGTTCATTAACTGGAGTGTGTTAGCAGATATAAAAGGCTGAGAGCTGCAATGAGGCGACACAGGGTCTATAGGCTCCTCCTCTCAGAGGAATGAATATGACATTGTGAAGTGGGTCAAACAGTCACTCAGTCTGCAGGGTGTGCAGTGCAAGCACACAGAAACATGCAGAGGTGGCTCTGGTCTAGGCTATTCGTTGACTTCAAAATATTTTTTCAAAGGGGGAAATAATGTTCTTTACAAAACAAGGCCCTGTTTGAATATTTTTGGAACGCATCCTTCATTCATGTAATCAGTGACTGCATGATAGGCACAATAACAGCAAGGCTACTGCTTTCATCAAGCCAACCTTGTCAGATGTGTGATTACATGAAGGAAGGAGGAGTGTGCATTTCATATAAGGAAATATAAGAGGAAAACTGCTCCGGGCCTCCATCTCAGAGGTGCGCATACCTGTAGCGTGGATGCTCTTGAGTCGCTGGTCTCTGTAGGACCTGTGCTTCTGGGTATACTGGACACAAAGTAGCCTGCTCCCTTGGGTACTATAGGCTGTCTGACAACCACCTTGCCTTTCCTGGTCTCTGCTAGAAACAGGCTGTACCAGTAGGCGTCACTGGAGATCAGGGTGGAATCGGCTATGGTGGAGCTCCTCTGGCTGATGATACTGTTTCTGCTGATCACACTGTTCCTGTTCAGACTGTTCAGATTCATATTCATAGCAGGAGGCATCTTCATGGGCTTCGGTTTCTGACACTTTAGCACGATGATCACCAATATGGTGATCAATAGAAGGAAGGACACTGAACCCAAACCGATGACCAAATAGAGATTTAAGTCTGTGAACAAGTCATATTCTAAAGGCACCTCAGTAGTTTCTGAGAATGGTGTCACCATGTGTTCTACTGTTGATATCTTGATGGTAACTGTAGCCGAAAGAGCGGGGTCTCCATTGTCTTTGGCGACAACAACCAGCCTCTGATGACGCGGGTCCCTATAGCTGAACATTCTGGTGGTCCTGATCTCCCCATTGTACTGATCTAGACTGAACAGGGTAGAGTCACTGGTCTGTAGAAGCTGATATGTGACCCGTGAGTTCTGTAATGAGTCTGTGTCAATAGCAATCACTTTAGCAACCAGCAATCCTTTATCAGTGGACCTCGGGATCACCTCTTCAATTACCGAGCCCTGCGCTCGCCAAGGCGACACTATGAGTGGGGTGTTGTCATTCTGGTCCAAAATGATGATGTGAACTGTCACATTACTGCTGAGTGGAGGAACCCCAGAGTCTCTGGCCTCTATGTGGAAAAGAAACTCCCTCTCCCTTTCAAAGTCAAAGGTCTTTAGAGCATAAAGGTTGCCATTCTCTGGATTAATGGAGAACAGCATGGACATAGACGTGTTGATGATCTCCTTCTCCATGATAAAATAGACCAGATACTGGTTCTCATGGAGGTCAGGGTCAAAAGCACTGAGTGACGTCAACAGTGCGCCAGGGATGTTGTTCTCCACAATATGGATTGTGTAGAATGACTCGGGGAATATTGGTGCGTTATCATTGACATCCAGTATCTCCAAGGTGATTGTCTCATTGTCAGATAAGCGAGGTGTTCCTTTGTCTGTGACTATGAAAATGATGTCATATCTTGGAATTGTCTCACGGTCCAGTGGTTCTGAAACAAGCAGAGCGAAGTAATTCTCTGAAGACTTATTGAGAACGAAGGGTAGGGATGCTTTTTGGTTCAAAGTGAGTTCAACTTCACCGTTGTTCCCAGAGTCCCTATCGCTTATACTGATCACTGCTATTAATGTTCCTATGGCAACATCTTCCTTGACTGTGCTTTTAAAAGTTGTAATGGTAACCTCAGGATAGTTGTCATTCAGATCGGTAATAAACACCATTATTTTACAATCTCCGGATAACGAATTCGATCCTTGGTCTCTGGCTTGAATATATATATCGAAACTGTGACTCTCCTCGAAATCAATCACATCCTTCACCTTTATTTCACCTGTATTTGAATTTAGAGATAACTTTTCTTGCGTCTTCTCGGATGTATATAACGTGTATGAATATGTAATCTCTGCGTTGGTGCCCTCGTCTAAGTCTGTTGCGTTCAACTTCATTACTACAGTTCCAATTGCGGAGTTTTCAGTTACATTAATAGCATATATCGGCTGGTTAAAAAAGGGGGCATTGTCATTGATATCCAAAACCCTAACAATGATACTGGCTGTGCCTGAGCGCGCAGGGACCCCGCCATCTGCAGCCGTTAGTATTAAATTATGATCCGCCTGTTCCTCCCGGTCTAAATTACTGTTGAGAACCAAATCTACGTATTTAGAGCCATCGCTTCCCGTCTGTATGTCAATTGTAAAAGACTTGCTTTCGCTCAAATAGTAAGTCTTAATAGAATTCGCACCGACATCTGCATCCACAGCATTTGTCAAAGAGAATCTCTCTCCTGGAGCGGTAGATTCTGAAATATCCAAGTGCATTGTCTCCCTTCGAAAGACAGGTGCATTGTCATTTATGTCCATGATTTCAAGCTCAATGTTAAAAATACGAATGGGATTTTCAAATATGACATCCGTTTTAAGAAAACAAGACGTTGTCTTGCTCGAGCATATGTATTCCCTGTCTATCTTTTCAATTATGAACAACTCTCCCGTTTCTTTGTTAATGTCCAAATATTTCTTACTGTGGATGATGTCAAGCTTTGCCTTGCGTGTTACCAGAGCGCGAACGTCGAGTCCCAAATCGGTAGCCAGGTTTGCAACAACGGAACCCTCTTGCATTTCCTCGGGAATAGAGTAGCGAGTAATGGGCAAAGCAATTCCCCACATCGCGCTGAATACAAAGAGAACCGTGGCGCACCTTGTCCATACAGTTGCAATGGATAAAGCCATAATTGCAAATCAAATATGATAAAATATGACAGTACTTGCAGCAATACGTTGAAGCCGAATACCTTTACATCTACGATCTATTGTTTATGTGAGAAACAATCGGTAGCCTTCTCTTCTACACTGGGGAATTCATGCCAAGCCTCCACGCGGTACAACTGCGGTGCGTTGCCCTCCCAATCGTGATGACGTCTGCTGGGTAGTCGTCATTAATATTTGTAAAGGAACAGCGACATTGTGTGTGCTATGTGAAATAGTTTAACTTGATTATGAATGTAACGTTAATGCAAGTTTGCAGACGAAATCTAATCTTTCGAAAGCCCTCTACACCCTCATACTTGTTAAAAAGCTTCCGGCAAGTTGTGATAATTAGCACCTCAAAGCTATAACTTGATGGCCTCTCCCTCACTTTATCGTCCTACTGCGACAGCGACAAGCACGAGAACAGCGACAGGGCCTCTCTGAGCAACACTGATCTGGTGAAATAAAACCAGTGCAACAGATAAATAGAATAATAATAATCGTAATGTGATGTCAACGTCACAAGGATAGTCTGCGTAAATTCAGAGCCAACCGAAATTCAGCACCAAACCACATAGACAGCACCACACAGTATCTGGATCTCCAAACAAGATTGCTTGAATGAGCAGCGCTATAATTGACAGAAATGTGATTATAAATGTTTCCATCCACACTTTTTATGCGAGTAAAGTCATACCATATCAAAAAAAGAAATCACAACAGCTGTGATGGAAACAGGAAGTTTAGGTACAACTGTATAAATGCCAACGTATCATTTGTTCGTTCGACATGGTGGGATCTTTATATGTCGGTAAAATGAATTATGTGAGAAATGGTGGTGGAAACGTTGGTTATATTGATATAATAACCATTATATCGAAGTAAACTTGGAGTCACGCGATACAATGTTGTGTGGTCCTCCCACTATGACTCGGGAAAGTATGCAGTTTATTAGGCTACAGATTAAAGAAATTATGATGAACTTCACAGGGTGGTGAAAGTGCACGGTGATATTGATGCTACTTTCCAATAAATATCGATGGTCTTATTTTGGAGAAATTATGACAGATGCTTGACTGCCGTTTGACAAATAAAGAATATTCTCGCTCTTATCCATAATGATCTCATTATGTAGACTAGCCTACCCGCACAGCCTACCCGCACTGTATCTGCGAGCTTTTGGCTAGAGCGCAATGCCAAGACCAGAGTAGGCACATTTGCTATTTAACGCAACAATTTGTGTGACAAAACTATCAGTAGAGTTGAAAATGCGATGGAAACACAATGAACTTTAGATTTTTATACTGTAGGCCTACATGAAAACTTAAGTGAAAAAGTACATTGTGTGTACACTACGTCATCACGCACAGATTTTTTTCTGCAACAAGTCAGTTTGGTGGAAACACCACTGGTGGAAAAATTTATATATTTCCTTTATGCGGATTTTAGAATATTCGCATGAAAAGCTGTCGCCAATTGGATGGAAACCTAGCTAGTGTAAATGTCGATATCAAGCCACAGTTATTTCCTCTGACTGTGTGTGATGGTGAAGGATATTCTTAGGGAACAGCGGCGAGAGTGTCCAATATCAAAGCACATTTGCTCTACGTGTGGATTCGAAACGCAAAAGGTTAATAATAATAATAATAGTCTTCCTCACATATTGCCATTTCTCTTAATCTGCTTCTTTGATTTCATATCGACGGAGCTAGGCTCATATACGGACCCCACTAAATGGTCTGTAAAACATGCAAGACAGTATTTCAATTATGCTATACATACCTGTGATAAAACTCCCCTGCAAGTTGTCATAATCAGCAGCACCTCAAAAACAGAAACTCGATCTCACTGTAGATGTCCCACTGCAAAAGCAACAAGCACGAGAACGAACGCGAGATGGCTCTTTAAATCCCAGAGCAACAGATACTTTGAATTCAACTTTTGACACAATAATCATATTGTGATGTCAACGTCACAGAGATGGTCTACGTCAATTCAGCGCCACATTCCATGGACATGGCTCCAACCATAGAAATATAATCTACATTCTTGAATCTAGATTGTATTTCTATGGCCACAACTACAATGTATGTCCCAGAGCCAAACGTAAGGCTTGGTGTGTCCTCCAGTCCACCCGTCCTAACTCACATTGATGAAAATAAATCAGCAGTAATCTCAGATTTTATACATATATAAATGTTTAAGAAGCCAAACGGGTCAAACATGAAGGTATAAAGTACAATCACATGATATACATGTTTTTAAATGATTGCCTAACAGAATGCCGTGCATAATCTTCACAACGCAACCCTCAAGGCATTAGGAGAATTTGCCATAACTGCTGGCAACAGAGATCCTCAGATCAATTTCACCATTATCCCCACAAGTGGCTATAATTGCCCTTATATCTGCACATTCTCATCATCACCATCGTTATCATTATCAACTAAAACTGTACATTATATTAATTAAAAGAGATAGAATTATGACACTGCTGTATTGAGAGAAAATACTATACTGTAATGTTATAAGTTATGTGTTCGAAGGAGCATGGATTCAAACATACTAAACATAACTAAAATATTTTCATTCTCCTTGTGCACAGAGGGTTATACTTTATGGGTTGATGATATTAATAGTTAATGAACATCCACAGAAAATTGTATTCAATTGTATGCACAGTCTCTTCCAATATATTCATTTAAAAAAGTCATTGTTTATCATGTTGTCCTCTCTCTGGTCACAGCTCGGGTCATAGCTAGAGATGAACCCCTTCTTTTTTCCAAACGTAGAGAATGAGTTGTAGACATCCAGTTCCCCCCTGGGTGCAGGCTTCAGAGTGCAGTAGGCAGACGGTGTGCCAGGGATGTAGACATTGTGCTGGTAGTCAGGTGGTGGCTGTGCAGGTGGAGACTGGGTGTACCTCGGAGTCCACGAACGGTTTGGAACCCCTCCTACACATCCAACATTTCCTACCCCTCCAATCCCTCCGACCTGGGAGGACATCTTGTATTCTGCTAACAAAACAAATCACATAATAAAGTGTTAGTTAGTTAGTGTGATTTCTGCAATAGCAACATGTTAAACAGTGTGGAAGAATGTCATGGCGTCAGTTTTTGAATTATTTATCCAGAAAGCTTGTCTGTATTTTGTTGTCTTTTAGTATTGGTATAGAATATTTTCTGACACTGTAGGTTCCTGGTCCACGTACCACGCATATGATTACCCCAGGTATAGTACTGTGGTGCCACCGGGCAGGAGAAGCCATCAGGGTCTGGCCTGGGTCTACGTGGGATGGTCCTCTCCATGGTGACAGAGCTAAAGCTGTGGAAAGAAAATAAAAAAATAAGGAACTAGAATGACTCCTTGTTGTGTGTGTGTGTCTGTGCGTTCATGCCCCTCCCTACCTTCAGGCTATGCTCAAACCCTACACCCCAACCCGAGCACTCCATTCTGCCACCTCTGGTCTTTTGGCCCTCCCTCCCCTATGGGAAAAAATGTACTTTCTATGCCTGTGATATGTGGTTGTCCCACCTAGCTATCTTAAGATGAATGCACTAACTGTAAGTCGCTCTGGATAAGAGCATCTGCTAAATGACTCAAATGTGAATGTAAAATGTGTGTTTGTGTGCTCGCTTGTTATTTTTCCACCAGCATTTTTGTAGACCTTTTGTGTGCTGAATTGTGTTGATTGTTCGTCGATGTCCAGTCCATGTTCGCTTGCTTGAGCTGCAAAATTGAGGACGTAGAGAGGTTAGTAATACAGCAGAAATGATAACCCACATCAATTACATAGAATTGCCACAAATAAATATGAGTCTGTAAGAAATATTAAATGATGTACTATGTAGTGGATAGTTTCAATTGCAACTTGAAATAAATAAATAATGAAAGAATAAATTAAGTATTGAATAGGAAAAAAGGGCAGCACAGTTGTATCATGTCTTGCAATAAGATTCTACACTTGGCCTACTACAGTCCATTATAATGGACACTCGCATGCAACTATTGCCCCCTTGTGGCACGATGGAGCATCCCTAGGGAGAAGCAGATTATCTGAAGTTGCAAGAGAGCCACCAACCCCAGGCATCAGTGATCATACATACTTACATTACTGGTCAAAAGTTTTAGAACACCTACTCATTCAAGGGTTTTTCTTAATTTTTACTATTTTCTACATTGTAGAATAATAGTGAAGACATCAAAATTAAGGAATAACACATATGGAATCATGTAGTAACCAAAAAAGTGTTAAACAAATCAAAATATATTTGAGATTTGAGATTCTTCAAATAGCCACCCTTTGCCTTGATGACAGCTTTGCACACTCATGGTATTCTCTCAACCAGCTTCACCTGGAATGTTTTTCCAACAGTCTTGAAGGAGTTCCCACATATGCTGAGCACTTGTTGGCTGCTTTTCGTTCACTCTGCATTCCAACTCATCCCAAAGCATCTCAATTTGGTTGAGGTCGGGGGATTGTGGAGGACAGGTCATCTGATGCAGCACTCCATCACTCTCCTTCTTGGTAAAATAGCCCTTACATAGCCTGGAGGTGTGTTGGGTCATTGTTCTGTTGAAAAACAAATGATAGTCCCACTAAGCCCAAACCAGATGGGATGGTGTATCGCTGCAGAATGCTGTGGTAGCCATTCTGGTTAACTGTGCCTTGAATTCTAAATAAATCACAGACAGTGTCACCAGAAAATCACCCCCACACCATCACACCTCCTCCTCCATGCTTTACGGTGGGAAATACACATGCGGAGATCATCCGTTCACCCACACTGTGTCTCACAAAGACACAGTGGTTGGAACCAAAATCTCAAATTTGGACTCATCAGACCAAAGGACAAATTTCCACCGGTCTAATGTCCATTGCTTGTGTTTCTTGGCCCAAGCAAGTCTCTTCATTATTGGTGTCCTTTAGTAGTGGTTTCTTTGCAGCAATTCGACCATGAAGGCCTGATTCACACAGTCTCCTCTGAACAGTTGATGTTGAGATGTGTCTGTAACTTGAACTCTGTGAAGCATTTATTTGGGCTGCATTTTCTGAGGCTGGTAACTCTAATGAACTTATCCTCTGCAGCAGAGGTAACTCTGGGTCTTCATTTCCTGTGGCGGTCCTCATGAGAGCCAGTTTCACCATAGCGCTTGATGTTTTTTGCGATTGCACTTGAATAAACGTTCAAAGTTCTTAACATTTTCCGGATTGACTGATGTTCATGTCTTAAAGTAATGATGGACTGTCGTTTCTCTTTGCATATTTGAGCTGTTATTGCCATAATAGGTCTTTTACCAAATAGGGCTCTCTTCTGTACCTTGTCACAACACAACTGATTGGCTCAAACGCATTATGAAGGAAATCAATTCCAGAAATTAACTTTTAACAAGACATACCTGTTAATTGAAATGCATTCCAGGTGACTACTTCACGAAGCTGGTTGAGAGAATGCTAAGAGTGTGCAAAGCTGTCATCAAGGCAAAGGGTGGCTATTTGAAGAATCTCAAATATAAAATATATTTTGATTTGTTTAACACTTTTTTGGTTACTACATGATTCCATATGTGTTATTTCATAGTTTTGATGTCTTCACTATTATTCTACAATGTAGAAAATAGTAAAAATAAAGAAAAACCCTTGAATGAGTAGATGTTCTATAACTTTTGACCGGTAGTGTATATGTATATGCATTCTGCATGTTTTATTTATTTATTTAATGACTTTTCGGATACATTCATTATTTTATCTATTACTGTATGAGTCCCACACTATGGACGTCATGCTCTATTAACTCTCAAGACCTTGCAACGTCAGTTTATTCTTAAACAGACAAATGGATATTGTTGGATTGCTGAGGCAATCAGAATAACATTACAATAAGTTGTTTTGCTTATTACACGTAATACTTCACATGACCTCCTCTCAATTTATATAAGCCTATACAATTTAACAGTATCACCTGGGCTACAATTTATTCATATTGTATTAAATTATATATTATGCTATATTACATATAAACCATGGTGGATAGACTAACCATGGACCATTTTAAGGATTATTAAACTAGTGACGTTTGACCCTGATGTTAGCTCACTCACTCCTAATAGTATATTTGTTTCTCAGTCCACTTCAATGCATAGTCTTCACACAAGATTTTAATAGTATGACTTTGGAAGTATTTTTTTGAACGTTTAGTTTTATTTTTTACTTTAAACGTTAGCCGTATTTCAAAGTAATCAGCTTTCCTGACTCGTGCGAAATTGCTTTCCGTTCATTGACAGATGTATCAGTTGCAATTAGTTGTTGAACAAGCATGAGTGACAATCATCAAAGTGATACAAATAAAATGATAAATTATCATTATTTTGAGGTATGATGTGATTATATTTGGTGCAGTATGCCTCGGCCTATTTACCTCGTTCGGAATAGTTGCTCGGTTGTTCACTATCAGACTGCGGGAGTCCTGTGCGCTCCAACCCGATGTGAGGTAGTCTGCGCCCTTGGCGTTATTCTTTTGTGGAGTCGCAGTTATCGGATTGCATGACTTTAGGAACATGAAATCGCTCTTGGATGATTCCGGAGTCAGACACATCTTGTAGCAGTATGGCTGGGAAAGGGGGCCGTTGCCATTTGCCTCAACGCAGTTCGTGGATCCTTTGGTGCCTGTGGTTATCTGCACCTTCAAGTTGGACTTCTTGAACACATCAGCGGTAGACTCCTCTGATCGGAACCCGCAACATGCACTCAGAGAGAAGTTATACCCCCGAATGGAATGTCTGTCCCTGTATCCCTTTATCGCGGCCAGGACGATAATAGCCAGCAGAAACGTGAACGAGATAGCGCCCAGAGACACTATTAAGTACAGCGTGAGGTTCGAGCGGTACTGGGGGCTCAGTGTGAGGTCGCCGAAATCAGGCAGCGATTCTGGCACGTTGTCAACAACTGACAGGATGATGGAAACTGTGGCCGAAAGGGGTGGCTGACCGTTGTCCTTGACCAGAATGACCAGCCTTTGCCTTATGGGGTCTTTTTCCACCAATCGGCGAATCGTCCTGATTTCGCCCGTGTACAGGGCCACGCTAAACAGGCTTGGGTCGCTTGCCTGGAGCACCTGGTAGAACAGACGCGAGTTTTGACCTGCGTCTGCGTCCATCGCACTGATTTTTGCCACAAGATAACCAGCATCAACTGACCTTGGCAACACTTCAGTCGCCGCCGTGCCGTTTTGGGGTACAGGTGCTACTATGACTGGTGCATTGTCATTTTGGTCCAAAATAAAGACATTTGCGGTAACATTGGTGCTCAGGGGTGGAAAACCGGCATCTTGTGCTTGGACTAAAATCTGAAAGTTTCTTAGCTGCTCATGGTCAAAAGAACGCAGTGCGTAAATATTCCCGTTGTCTGAGTTTATGGAGACGTAGGTGGACACGGGCATCCCCTGTATATCACCTTCCAGAATAGAGTAAGAGAGATAGGCATTTTGGTCCGAATCTGGATCCAGGGCAGCAACCGAGCAAATTGAGGCTCCTGGTGCATTATTCTCTGTCAAATAGACGGTGTATGATGGCTGCTTGAATCGGGGTGCGTTGTCATTCATGTCTGACACTTGAACTAAAATAGTTTTCCTTGTGAACAAGGGAGGCGCGCCCATATCTCTTGCTGTGAGAGTGATGTTGTACTCTGGCACAGTCTCCCTGTCCAAAAAATCACAAGTAACTAAAGTGTAATAGTTCTTAAAAGAGGAGTGGAGCTGGAAGGGGACATGATGTGGAATTTCACAGTCAACATTCCCATTTTCACCTGAGTCCTTGTCCATGACGCTGATGACAGCTATCACTGTCCCCGGTGGTGCGTCCTCTTGGACAGGTGTGGACACTGATGTCAAGATCACCTCCGGGAGGTTGTCATTCACATCTAAGATATTCACCAGAACTTTACAGTGCACGGCCACTGCCGATGGGCCCTTGTCCTTGGCTTGCACATATATCTCATGCATTCTGGCCTTTTCATAATCTACGACCCCTTTCACTCTGATCTCTCCAGTGCGCGAATCTACACTGAAAAGCTCGCGCACTTTTATGGGAGCATGCCCGCTGAAAGAGTATGTGATATCCGCGTTAGGACCCTCATCCAAATCCGATGCGTTTAGTTTTATCACAATGGTGCCCGTCGGTGCGTTTTCCACAAGCCTCACTCTGTAGAAAGACTGGTCGAACACTGGCGCGTTGTCATTTGCATCCAGAACTGTTATATTGATCTGTGCTGTCCCGGATCTCTCTGTCGAGCCTCCATCCACAGCCGTCAGCACCATTTGGTGCGTATTCTGCTGCTCTCTGTCCAACGGGCTCTCCAGGACCAACTCCGCAAACTTACTGCCATCACTACGCGTCTGGATGTCCAGGACGAAATGTTCGTTCACACTCAGCAGATAGGAGCGGAGCGAGTTGCTGCCAACGTCCGAGTCCTGCGCGCTCTCTAGTGGGAAGCGGGACCCGGGTACCGCCGACTCGGATATATCCAAATTAAACTCACTCCACGGAAAACTGGGTGAGTTATCGTTCACATCTAAAATCTCCACCTCAACCCTGTACAGTTCCAATGGGTTTTCGATTACCACTTGCAAATGGAAAGAGCAAGACAGACTCTGTTCACATAGTTCCTCTCGATCAATTATTTCGTTTACAAATAAAATACCATTTTCTAAATTCACCTCCAGGTATTGCTTTTTTGCGCCTGAAACTATTCTGAACCTGCGCACAGAAAGTCTCTCAACGTCTAAGCCCAAGTCCTCGGCTATATTTCCAACAAAAGAGCCATGTTCCAGTTCCTCGGGGATTGAATAACGAATCTGAGCCCAAACTAAATCCAGGACACATACGACGAGAGCTAGGCATATCACCTGCCATGTCCCCCCAAGCCGTCTCTTCGCGCCTCGGAGGTCCATCTGAGCGACGGACTATACTACAAAAATGCGCACTCCATGACCAAAACGCACTCCATAACCAAACAGGGTTTCAGTTAGAAAATCATTACTTTTAAATATATATTATTCTGTAAATGTTACTCGTTTACCCTAAATGAAAAAATAGTTAATATAAAGATATAGGCTAATATCATCCACAACTTGAAGTGGAGCCTTGGTGTTCGCCCCAGCCGAGTGTCTTTGAATGTGTGTGTGAGTACGAAAAGAAGAGGAGAGAGGGAGGGGTGTGGGGAGGAGGTTGCTGTCTCTGATTAGCATTGTGATGCTCTGGTGTGTGTGTGTGTGTGTGTGTGTGTGTGTGTGTGTGTGTGTGTGTGTGTGTGTGTGTATGTATGTATGTATGTGTGTGTGTGTGTGTGTGTGTGTGTGTGTGTGTGTGTGTGCGTGCGTGCGTGCGTGCGTGCGTGCGTGTGTGCGTGTGTGTGTGTGTGTGTGTGTGTGTGTGTGTGTGTGTGTGTGTGTGTGTGTGTGTGTGTGTGTGTGTGTGTGCGTGCGTGCGTGTGTGTGTGTTTATTGGCTCAATTCCAGTATTCCGATAGGGAGAAGCGACATCTGCTCTGATTCCAGTTTGAGCACAACACTATAGGCTAATCTTTCGCACTAATCAAATGCAGCGACCGTGTTATTTAGCCCAATGTCTACGGGACGGGGGGCTAAAATGATAGGCTATCATAGTTTAGTTTAATTAAACTCATGTATCTATCTTGAAGGTTACAACACAAAATAGCCTTCATGCATGGTTCATGCGACAAATCGCATTCTTCAATATTTCAAAAAGTTTCTTACCCATTTTGGGGTTACAAATGATCCTCGGTTTTTCAAATAGATCTACTCCAGTAGCTTAATTCAAAATAACCTATTGCAGAATAATAAAGTAATAGGCTACAATCAAATCTATAGCATAAGCATTACAACGTATAGGCAAATATTTGAATACAACCTAAATACGATATATTTTTAAGAGCAAATAAGTAATATCTCACTAAAATAAACGAGTGGGGCAGTGTTCTAAGGCACTGCATCACAGTGCTAGCTGTGCCACTAGAGATCCTGGTTCGAATCCAGGCTCTGTCGTAGCCGGCCGCGACCGGGAGACCCATGGGGCGGCGCACAATTGGCCCATCGTCGTCCAGGGTAGGGGAGGGAATGGCAGGCAGGGATGTAGCTCAGTTGATAGAGCATGGCGTTTGCAACGCCAGGGTTGTGGGTTCGATTCCCACGGGGGGCCAGTATGAGAAATAAAAAATAATGTATGCACTCACTAACTGTAAGTCGCTCTGGATAAGAGCGTCTGCTAAAAAAAAAAAAGACTAATAAAATGAACCGTTTTCAGTAGGCTATAGGCTAGGCTATTCCAGCTGTGTGAGTAGAGGATATGATGGAGCTCAGTGTCTCCTCACCAGTGAGAGGTCATCCTTTCTCTCATCACTCCATCACACGCCAGCTCTAAAAACTCTCTCCAATCCCCTTGTTTTAAATAAGCTGAAAACACAATCTGTCTACCGGAATGAAACCACAGCAGATGGCGAGGTTTTCCGTGGGCTCGTGCTCTTTTTAATTAATGGAGTGGGGATTAGAGGGAAGTTATCCGGGATCATTAGCGAACAGAGGAATTAAGATGTTTTGTGAGAAATAAACCCGGGGCTATCCGTGGGATACACAGCGGTTTTCTCTGGTGTAGTTGCATTGACCTGTTTTCCACATGCTTTAAGTGCATGCTTAACGTCATTTACCCACAGCGGAAACATAACTTAACTGCTAAGTGGCGGTTGGTATCGTGACAAACACATTTACGGATAAAAAGACAAAGGGAATACCACACACACACACACACACACACACACACCATTATAAAACAAATACTAAAAGTAAAGTAGGGTATGTAGCAATATATCTGGTCTTGGTCTTAATTACAGCAAATCTGTAAAGCTGCAGATGTGGTACATACAGTAAACGGTATTTTAGATGTGTTTACCATCAGTGTTAGACCTAATCCTTTATTTTTCAAATCCTCCAGTAAAACTCCAAGGGTGTATGTTAGATTAAGATAAAGGCCTACACTAATGGCCCACCAATATCATGAAATGCACACGATTTCTATTAATCGAATATTTATTTATTTATAGATGTTCTCAATAATGCTTCCAACGTTTTACTGTCTGGTAGTGTGTTACCTGCTAGGATATTACAAGTGATCGTGATAAATGCCTGGGGGAAACGATAGTCTCTGCGCCATCTGGCGTATCAAAGTCAAAAAGCAGTATACCTTTGATGAAGGCGGTGGCGCTCAGAGGAATTTACAGCGGGAGAAGATGCAATCATAGGATATTTCGTTAGGGTGCCTGTGGAGGCCAGTAGAGGGAGACAGAGACTCTAGATTAGCGTCATTAGTCTGAGTCAATGGGAGGCTCTCAAATAATGCAGTCCTGAATGCATCTGTGACTCATAAATGCCCTCAGGTTTGTGTGTGCATTAGATGTGGTAGTGATATTGATTGGTTGAGTAGTGCGGTTAGTTGTAACAAACAGTGAATCATTTGTTCCCATTACTTGTTGACAAGGATTGATGTAGAAATAGAGATGGTAAGGAATTTGGAGTTTTCCGCTTACCATTACTGCTGGATTTAGGAATTGTTCTCTCTATCTAGAATTGTCAGAGAAAGAGGGTACTTGAAAATCGAAACTCGTATCTCAGATCTATCTCTAATAACTACTACTCTAGCGATAGTCTCTAGACTCTCTATCTCATCAACGGAATCATGAGGATCTCTACACTCTCTTCTCTCTCTCTCTTTCGGCCAGACGATGGAGTGGGACAGGTTGCCACAGACAGGGAATGTCAGGAATGCCAAAGGAATGTGGGTACTACCCTCACCCTCTCTCTCTCTCTCTCTCTCTCTCTCTCTCTCTCTCTCTCTCTCTCTCTCTCTCTCTCTCTCTCTCTAACACACATGAACAACACACATGTCCAAACATTTATGGGATCAGCCATACAGGTAGGTCTACACCAACTGTCAATCAAATGTATGCCTACACAAATGTCTCTTATTGAGATGTGCCTGAGATAATGACAGTGGGTAAAGAGAGGGATCGACTGCAGCTTCTTATCTTTTTTCGTTCATCCTATGCTGGCATGTCAAGAGACAGTGGCTGATGGGAAGGAGAAGTCTGAAAAGTGAAGAGCTTAAAGGAGAGACCTTGTTAAGGAGAGAGGGAGAGGCAGAGGGAAAGAGAAGGACAGTGGGTGATGGCAAAAGCAGTGGGGAAGAAAAAGACCAAAGGGAAAGATTATAGGAGGGAGAGAGAGAGAGAGAGAATGAAAGGAGGGGAAGGAGGGTAGAGGACGATAAGGGCAGCCACAGCACCTGTTACTCAGCTGTGTAAACCGGAGGATTCCCACAGAAAAAGGAAAGCTACTGTATATCAATAGGAAAGTCCTAAGTGTCTGTCTCACCCCTTCACAGAGTCAGAGATCAGCACACAAAGTCAGAGAGTATGGTGGTGGAGGATCAAACCATGTGTTATGTAAAATATGGCCTACAGACACAGCTAGTTACTATACCAAAACAGAAGTAAATAAAGATATGGGAAGGTATACATATCATTTGTGTGTGTGTGTGTGTGTGTGTGTGTGTGTGTGTGTGTGTGTGTGATTCAACCAATTAGAATGATTCAATCAGACAGAATGAAACAGTTGGACATGGCAGGGAAGACAGGTATTTATAAATATTGTCAAGCCAATCAATAGATGTATTTAAGCACAAACAGTGTTTGAAACTAGGCAGATAAAATAGAGATTGGATGGTAGGCTACTTGATGTGCAGTTCCACTATGTCCCTCAAAGCGGCAGCATTGAGTCTTCATCAGTCTTACCTGGCTGTCAGCTTTTACTGTTTATTAGCTCATGTTAATACAACTTCCTGGCACTCCAATGCAAGTACAGTGTAATGACAATATACTCTTGACACTATTATATTCACATGAACCCTGTTCAAGGCCACAGATTATTATCCAAGGCCACATTCTCACCTGTCACCCTTTTGTTATGTGCATGTTTCCACCTCACTTTCAACCCCCAGCTAGGAATTGTGAAAATGGGAATTGTGAAATGTTGATTGAAAACACCCCCAGCAGCCTATGTTTATGTGTGAAAAATGGGAATGGTGAAATGTTACTTGAATAACACCCATGGTGCATAGGAGGACAATGCTCTATCTATGTACATGGAATAAGTCTGAAAGTACTGTGTTCAAACAAGGGCTACATACAATTGCCCATCCAATGTCTGGGTGTGTTTCCATTTCAACACTGTTTTGTTTTTTGACCCAAAAGCTCAACTACCATCCTTCACAACTAGGCTGATATGTCAACTGTGTCTACACAGCTATAACAAAGTTATTAGGCCTGCACATGCTGAAGTTGGACACAACAGTGAATAAATCACAGGATACATTAAAGGCCTTGTATCTTCTTGTATATGTCCATATTGTATTCTGGCTTCCCTTCTTCTCTCCACTCCTTTAATCTCCTCCATCCTGCCAACCCATCTTCCCTTTTCCTTGTTCTATTTTGAGCTCATTTCTGGTAAGAATATCTGCTGTGAGAAACTAGACATGACCTTTGACACAAATTCTATTTAAGTTAAGTGAATATATTCTGAAAAACGATGGTAAGTGTGTGTGTGTGTGTGTGTGTGTGTTGGGGATAGGGGTTTACAGAGCCTTCCTGGAGAGAAGTATGAGTGCTTACCCAGGTTGAGGGATCATAAACAACATACTGCTCAGTGCCATTGAAAGAAGGGGGAGGTGGAGCTAGATGAAATGCTATGTGTGTGTGTGCATGGGTATGCGTGGGTGTGCATGTGTGTGTGTGTGGGTGGGTGGATGTGTGTGTGCGTGGGTGGGTGGGTGGGTGTGTGTGTGTGTTTGGGTGGGTGGGTGGGTGTGCGTGGGTGTGTGTGTGTGTGTGGGTGTGTGTGTGTGGGTGGGTGTGCGTGGGTGTGCGTGGGTGTGTGGGTGTGTGTGTGTGCATGTGTGTGTGTGTGTGTGTGTGTGTATGTGTGTTCCTATAAAGTCCTGAATGTTATGTATCTGTGAAATCGATTGAACCTGATTGACCTCAGATACAGAAAATATACACGCAGTCATTCTTACTTTCGTACACTGTATTTTGTTGCACATTACCTCAGGTGGTTATGTCGAACTGACACATTTTGTAATGACCAGCTGCCAACACCAACATCCATGTAGCACTCAGTCATTCTTCTAATACATCATGCTGTGTATATAAGAGGTGAGTGTTATTTACATGTACCAATCACTGACTCATTCTACTTTTTTTCAATATTATATACCGCTAAACCACTCCAAGTGGGATCATTTGCTATGTCAGGCTTGTTTCTGGGGAAATCAGAAACTTTTTGCATCGACTATACACTACAATTTCTTTATCATTCATCCCTTTTACTGCACAGTATCTCTGTGTGTCAGTATGTGTTTCTATGTGTATTGCGTGTGTTGGCCTATAAAAGTGTCTGTTCTACCAAAGATCACAGCACTGGCAACAAAACAGCCCAACACAGTCCAGCAACACAACTCCCAGAGCACAGTACAACCCTAGAGGCCAACCCCACAGCGGCAGAGTGTGGTACTATTTCCCAGTAGACCAAACCCACACCACCTCCTGAACACACAGGGCAACCTTCTGCAACAACACAGGCCTTCAACACAACCCCAGAGCACGGTGCAGTTTCCACTGCTCCACAGCCCAGCAGCACTGCACTACTTCCTCTACTGGGTGGGTGCCAGCGGCCCTTAGCCAATCACGTTGTGGCTCTAATAAGATATGACTGACAGGAGGCCTCTTTATGCCAAAACCCAACAGGGTCAGGGAATTCAAGCTGGATAGACGTCCCTGTCTGAATGTTAAACACATTTTCCACAAAGCTAAAAGAAACTCTACCATTTATTAGCAATTCATAAACTGCATCTTTTCCTTCTCCTTTTCGTCTGAAGTCACTCCAACAGATAAATAGCAAATAGCAAGTCAAATCTTTCCATTACATTTAGTTGTGTAGCTGTAATAGGCTTGGTTTAGATCAGTCCAGCGTATTTCTCTTGTCATGGTCATGCAGAGGCAAATACACGACTCCGCACTTCGATTTCATAACATATCTCCTACCAGTAGGTTTCAATAACCAATTTATCCTTCATCTGCTGCTGCTCGCCTAGTCCAGGAGTGCCAGTGTGTGTGTGTGTGTGTGTGTGTGTGTGTGTGTGTGTGACTCTACCAGTTAGAATGTTTCAACCAGTTAGAATGAAAGAGTTGGACATGGCAGGGAAGACAAGTATTTCAAAATATTGTCAAGCCAATAAATAGATGTATTTAAGCACAAACAAGGAGTGTTTGAAACTAGGCAGATAAAACAAAGATGTGTATCGCACCAGATGAATCAGGCAAATGAAGTCCATCTCTTTCAGCCCAATGTCTCCCCTGTCTCCTTATACCTCATTATGTCTCTCTCTCACTTGTTCAGCTCACCCTTTCACTCACTGCTGCTAATCTATTCCAGAGGAAAGGCTACCATGGAAAACGCATAACAAGTGCACATACTTCTGCTCTTGCCAAGAGCGAAATAACACCAAGAAGGGAAAATGGGAGTGGGGGACAGACAGAAAGGGTGGGAGAGAGAGATATTGTTTATTCTAAGTCAAAGTTAGATCTTTTGTTGTGGTGGGGACCTGTCTTATATTAGACGTCTGAACTCCCTTCAAAGTCTGGAAAGACAGAGGGTGAGCCAAGACCAACTGTTTGTGCGCGTGTCTGAGACAGAGAGAGAGAGAGAAAGAGAGAGGGGGGGGGGGGGGGGGGGAGAGAAAGGAAGAGGGCACACTGATATACTGAGTATGCTGATATACACTGAGTGTAGAAAACATTAGGACCACCTTCCTAATATTGAGTTGCATCCCCTTTTGCCCTCAGAACAGCCACAATTCGTCGGGGCATGGACTCTACAAGGTGTTGAAAGCGTTCCACAGGAATGCTGGCCCATGTTGACTCCAATGCTGCCCACAGTTGTGTCAAGCTGGCTGGATGTCCTTTGGGTGATGGACCATTCTTGATACACACGGGAAACTGTTGAGCGTGAAAAACCCAGCAGCGTTGCAGTTTTTGACACACTCAATCCGGTGCGCCTTGCACCTACTACCATACCTCATTCAAAGGCACTTAAATATTTTGTCTTGCCCATTCACTCTCTGAATGGCACATATACACAATCCATGTCTCAATTTTCTCAAGTCTTAAAAATCTGTCTTTAACCTGTCTCCTCCCCTTCATCTACACGGATTGAAGTGGATTTAACAGGTGACATCAATAAGGGATCATAGCTTTCACCTGGATTCTCCTGGTCAGTCTATGTCATGGAAATGTTCTGTACACTCAGTGTAGATTGATATTGAACATATGCAGCTACTGAAATGAGATGGACATCTTACAAGATACCAACAGACACATGCAAAACATAAAACTCTACTATAAGATAGATACTACTCAGTCTGACATGTATGCATAATATCCATTAGGCTGACGTAACACAGTGGAAAAAAATGGCTAACACACTGTAACAGAAAAAAAAGATCATTCATCCTTCTTTGCACCGTGGAGATTAAGCTTGTTTAAAATGGGTCCAGTTTTCCATTGTTTTTTTTTTCTTCCATATTTCAACATTTCAAAAATAACAATGTCTGGGGTGTGGGACCTCTACTGAATAGACAAAGAGACAGACATAGCGAGGGCGAGACGAGAAAAAAGTATAATTTGTTTGTCGAGACAAAAGGTTATCCAATCACAGTACAGGTGTCAGGTAAAGCATGACAGCCCAAATGAGAGAAGACAGAAAGTGTGTTGGTGGCGCCAGGCCCAAAACAGTGAATAGGGTCAGCCCGACACAGGCCCAGCTAGGCCAAGTAGTCTCATATGGAACCAGTTAACAAGACCATGAGTCTCTCACAGCACTCTTATATTGCTGCACTTAGTTCATTGGCACATTTTGGCTAGTGGTGATGGAGGCTAGTAGTGATGGTGGCTAGTGGTGATTGTGGCTAGTGGTGATAGTGGCTAGTGGTGATAGTGGCTAGTGGTGATGGTGGCTAGTGGTGATGGTGGCTAGTGGTGATAGTGGCTAGTGGTGATAGTGGCTAGTGGTGATGGTGGCTAGTGGTGATGGTGGCTAGCAGTGATGGTAACTAGCAGTGATGGTGGCTAGCAGTGATGGTAGCTAGCGGTGATGGTGGCTAGCGGTGATGGAGGCTAGTGATGATGGTGGCTAGTGGTGATGGTGGCTAGTGGTGATGGTGGCTAGTGGTGATGGTGGCTAGCGGTGATGGTGGCTAGCGGTGATGGTGGATAGTGGTGATGGTGGCTAGTGGTGATGGTGGCTAGCGGTGATGGTGGCTAGTGGTAATGGTGGCTAGTGGTGATGGAGGCTAGTGGTGGCTAGCAGGCTCAATGCCACCAAGCCCTGTTAATCATACAACTATGTGTTTCATCTGGGGGGTTAAGTGTCAGAAGAACATCTGATCCACATTAATCATCTCTACTGCATCCAAACTAACTGGCAAACAAATGCCTGAGGCCTAACATCTCAACACAGTAAATGTTATTTGACAGCTAGGCCTACCCCAACGAACAGTAATTTTATGCCATATTTAGCGTCTGCTAAATGATGTAAATGTAAATGTAAATGTAGCCTAGTTATTTCAAGGAGCAGACTATAGGCCTATACGGTAGGTGGAGCTAATGCTAATGGCTGAAAACTTGAATGTGAGGTACCGCTTACCTAAAGCAGTCTGCATAGGCTGCACTATTGCAGCAGAGCAAGATGGTTTCTCCCATGGACCCAATAATCCTCAAATGTGCACCAAATGAGACCATGGCACTGGGTATTACAATGATAATTGGAATGACACCTACAGACAATATACAGTAGGCATAGGCCTATGCTGCCTATTTTAGTCTGTGTAATTACACTAATGGGACGCACTCACTCATTTCACACTCAAACGCCCTGGAAAGAATTAAATGTGTAACATCAACTCTACTGACCCTGATGTGACCTCTACCTCAGGTGCCAGCTAAGGTAGTTCATCATCCTTAAAAGTGAGAAAAGAAAACAGTGGATATCTGTCTGTGTGTGAGAGAGAGAGAGAGAGAGAGAGGAAGGGAGAGAGAGAGAGAGGGGGGGGGGGGGGGTGAGAGAGAGAGAGAGAGGAAGGGAGAGAGAGAGAGAGAGATGATGGGAGAGAGGGGGGTAGTAGGGGTTAGCATGGTTGGCTGACCATGTGTCTGCGGTTCTGTGGTGGAGGGGAGTGAGGATCTGCCGGTGTTGTTAAATCCCTAAGAAATGTTCATTTTGGGTTCTACTCTTTGCTTACATACCTTACGCACACCCACCCTCACAGAACTTTAAACTAAATAAGATGGCAGGACTATAGGCTACTACTATGTGTCCCCCTCTCAAACCATGAGCAGTTCTTCAATGTACCCATCATGTTTGTGTAGTGCAAATGCAATGGTAGCCTACTCACCAGTCACCACTACACTTGACACAGAGACTAGACTTAACATAGTAAACGAAAATCCAGGATGATCAAATTGGTCGGGGTGGATGGGTGGGTGTATAATGTGAATGTCTAACAACAAATTGGGATTCGTAACATATCATATGTATTGCAAATTCGTAACATATGGTACGAATTGCAATTCATAACATATCATACGAATTGTAGGCTAAACACACATCACGACAAGAGAGACACCACAACACTACATAAAGAGAGACCTAAGACATCAACATAGCATGGCAGCAACACACAACAACACAGCATGGTAGCAACAACACATGACAACAATGGTAGGAACACAACATGGCAGCCTCACAACATGGTATCAGCACAAAAACATGGTACAAACATTATTGGGCACAGACAACAGCACAAAAGCAAGAAGGTAGAGACAACAATACATAACGCGAAGCAGCCACACTTTCAGTAAGAGTGTCCATGATTGAGTCTTTAAATGAAGAGATGGAGATAAAACTGTCCAGTTAGAACACCTAAAGTAAACGTATCTGCATTCTATTGGGCTTGTCTTCTGATTCTAAGCTTACATAGCTTTACAGTATAGCCTGGGAAAAAGGAAGTTCAGTTCACAGTGTGATGTCTCAATGTGGTCTCAGAGCATTTATTATTGTTCTGTACGTAAATCCTCGTATGTACGTAAATCCTCGTACAATATATTATGAATTTGCAAAACTTACAATATCTTATGATTTTGCAAAACGTATGATACAGTGGGGGGGGAAAGTATTTAGTCAGCCACCAATTGTGCAAGTTCTCCCACTTAAAAAGATGAGAGAGGCCTGTAATTTTCATCATAGGTACACGTCAACTATAACAGACAAATTGAGAGAAAAAAATCCAGAAAATAACATTGTAGGATTTTTAATGAATTTATTTGCAAATTATGGTGGAAAATAAGTATTTGGTCACCTACAAACAAGCAAGATTTCTGGCTCTCACAGACCTGTAACTTCTTCTTTAAGGGGCTCCTCTGTCCTCCACTCGTTACCTGTATTAATGGCACCTGTTTGAACTTGTTATCAGTATAAAAGACACCTGTCCACAACCTCAAACAGTCACACTCCAAACTCCACTATGGCCAAGACCAAAGAGCTGTCAAAGGACACCAGAAACAAAATTGTAGACCTGCACCAGGCTGGGAAGACTGAATCTGCAATAGGTAAGCAGCTTGGTTTGAAGAAATCAACTGTGGGAGCAATTATTAGGAAATGGAAGACATACAAGACCACTGATAATCTCCCTCGATCTGGGGCTCCACGCAAGATCTCACCCCGTGGGGTCAAAATGATCACAAGAACGGTGAGCAAAAATCCCAGAACCACACGGGGGGACCTAGTGAATGACCTGCAGAGAGCTGGGACCAAAGTATCAAAGCCTACCATCAGTAACACACTACGCCGCCAGGGACTCAAATCCTGCAGTGCCAGACGTGTCCCCCTGCTTAAGCCAGTACATGTCCAGGCCCGTCTGAAGTTTGCTAGAGTGCATTTGGATGATCCAGAAGAGGATTGGGAGAATGTCATAGGGTCAGATGAAACCAAAATAGAACTTTTTGGTAAAAACTCAACTCGTCGTGTTTGGAGGACAAAGAATGCTGAGTTGCATCCAAAGAACACCATACCTACTGTGAAGCCTGTAGTTGGAGCTTGGAGCTTGGAGCTTGGCGTCGGGTAAGTTTGGCTTTATACATAGCTTGGGCTTTGTCGAGTAAGGCTTAAACTATGTATTTAGATTGTAGTTAGGTATTGTAGGTAGGTATCGTGGGTTGTTGTATGTAGTTATTGTATGTAATTATTGTAGGTTAGTATTGTATTCGGCGGTGCCGGGTGTAGCACGAAGCTAGCTAGCTAGCTAACTCACCACCTAGACTAGCTGGCGAGTAGCTATTAGCAACGGTATAGTTGTTTCACGCCTGAGAGTGCCTGTAATTACGCCAGCTGGCTGCCTACAATAATAACATACAATAATTGCCTACCATTCAGCTGATTTCTAACCTCATTGTCTGAACCGTTAACGTTAGGCAGCAAGTGGCTACTGTGCTCGAAAATTAGCAAGCTTGTTGCAACCTGGATAGCTACTTGTAAACAATAGCTGGAACGACCGAGCGAACAGACGCGAACTGGCTGAGTCAATTCAGTGGCTAGCTTTGCACTTGGCTAGCTAACAGTAGCTGCTAGGGGTAAGTCATAACCTACACTTGTGTTTTTTTTTTTTTACATATTGATAGCCCGAGTCGCTCAAGGAATTCGGGACATGGGTGACTAGTTAACGTTAGTTTGGCTCTCTCTGTGTGTTCGTGCCGTGAAAGGAGGGGTTCTTCTTTGTCTGAAAGCAATGGCTAGCTAGTTTGCTAACTAACTGGCTGAATAAGTTGACGACGGACTCGCTCAAGCTGTCGGGACTAACCCACAACGTTAGACACGGACGATCTGCTTGTGTGTTGATACACTGGTGGTTGTTGTGGCTGAGTATTGGCGCTAAACCCTGCTGTTGGAGACCGGCATGCTAGCTGGCTGTGGCGTCTTATGACGAGGTGCCCGGACGTTTTTCACGGAATAATACTGCACCTAGTTAGCTAGCTGAATAAACTAGGTTAGTCTATTCCTAGAAAACATTGAACCGCTGTAGTTTACAATAATTATAGTTTCTGAGGTGGAAGTTGGGAGAGTTATATTTGGGAGTTGTGGTGAGGGAGGCCCCGCTCTCTCCTTTCCCAGATGTTTAGTTCATTTTATTCCGATCTCCTCTGCATTATTGTAGTCATCTGCTGCAGCCTGTCAACTATGCCTCTGCCTATCCCTGTTCTCTCCTCTCCGCACAGGCTACACAAACGCCTCACACCGCGTGGCTGCTGCCTCTCTAACCTGGTGGTCCCTGCACGCACGACCCACGTGGAGTTCCAGGTCTCAGGCAGCCTCTGGAACTGCCGTTCTGCTGCCAACAAGGCAGACTTCATCCCAGCCTATGCTACCCTCCAGTCCCTCGACTTCTTGGCGCTGACGGAAACATGGATTACCACTGAAAACACTGCTACTCCTGCTGCTCTCTCCTCGTCTGACCATGTGTTCTCGCATACCCCGAGAGCATCTGGTCAGCGGGGTGGTGGCACAGGAATCCTCATCTCTCCCAAGTGGACATTCTCAATTTTTCCCCTGACCCATCTGTCTGTCTCCTCATTTGAATTCCATGCTGTCACAGTCACTAGCCCATTTAAGCTTAATATCCTTGTCATCTATCGCCCTCCAGGTTCCCTTGGAGAGTTCATCAATGAGCTTGACACCTTGATAAGTTCCTTTCCTGAGGATGGCTCACCCCTCACAGTTCTGGGGGATTTTAACCTCCCTACGTCTACATTTGACTCATTTCTCTCTGCCTCCTTCTTTCCACTCCTCTCCTCTTTTGACCTCACCCTCTCACCGTCCCCCCCTACTCACAAGGCAGGCAATACGCTTGACCTCATCTTTACTAGATGCTGTTCTTCAACTAATCTCACTGCAACTCCCCTCCAAGTCTCCGACCACTACTTTGTATCCTTTTCTCTCTCCCTCTCCTCCAACACTACTCACTCTGCCCCTACACAGATGGTAATGCGCCGTCGCAACCTTCGCTCTCTCTCTCCCGCTACTCTCTCCTCTTCCATCCTATCATCTCTTCCCTCTGCTCAATCCTTCTCCCTCCAATCTCCTGATTCTGCCTCCTCAACCCTCCTCTCCTCCCTTTCTGCATCCTTTGACTCTCTATGTCCCCTATCCTCCCGGCCGGCTCGGTCCTCCCCTCCAGCTCCGTGGCTTGATGACTCATTGCGAGCTCACAGAACAGAGCTCCGGGCAGCTGAGCGGAAATGGAAGAAAACTAGACTCCCTCCAGACCTGGCATCTTTTCACTCCCTCCTCTCTACATTTTCTTCATCTGTTTCTGCTGCTAAGGCCACTTTCTACCACTCTAAATTCCAAGCATCCGGCTCTAACCCTAGGAAGCTCTTTGCCACATTCTCCTCCCTGCTGAATCCTCCTCCCCCTCCCCCCCCTCCTCCCTCTCTGTGGATGACTTCGTCAACCATTTTGAAAAGAAGGTTGACGACATCCGATCCTCGTTTGTTAAGTCAAATGACACTGCTGGTCCTGCTCACACTGCCCTACCCTATGCTTTGACTTCTTTCTCCCCTCTCTCTCCAGATAAAATCTTGCGACTTGTGACGGCAGGCCGTCCAACAACCTGCCCGCTTGACCCTATCCCCTCCTCTCTTCTCCAGACCATCTCCGGTGACCTTCTCCCTTACCTCACCTCGCTGATCAACTCATCCTTGACCGCTGGCTATGTCCCTTCCGTCTTCAAGAGAGCGAGAGTTGCACCCCTTCTCAAAAAACCAACACTCGATCCCTCTGAAGTCAACAACTACAGACCAGTATCCCTTCTTTCTTTTCTCTCCAAAACTATTGAGCGTGCCGTCTTTAGCCAACTCTCTTGCTATCTCTCTCAGAATGACCTTCTTGATCCAAACCAGTCAGGTTTCAAGACTGGTCATTCAACTGAGACTGCTCTTCTCTGTGTCACAGAGGCTCTCCGCACTGCTAAAGCTAACTCTCTCTCCTCTGCTCTTGTCCTTCTAGACCTGTCTGCTGCCTTTGATACTGTGAACCATCAGATCCTCCTCTCCACCCTCTCCGAGCTGGGCATCTCCGGCGCGGCTCACTCTTGGATTGCGTCCTACCTGACCGGTCGCTCCTACCAAGTGGCGTGGCGAGAAGCTGTCTCCGCACCACGTGCTCTCACCACTGGTGTCCCCCAGGGCTCAGTTCTAGGCCCTCTCCTATTCTCGCTATACACCAAGTCACTTGGCTCTGTCATATCCTCACATGGCCTCTCCTATCATTGCTACGCTGACGACACACAACTAATCTTCTCCTTTCCCCCTTCTGATAACCAGGTGGCGAATCGCATCTCTGCATGTCTGGCAGACATATCAGTATGGATGACGGATCACCACCTCAAGCTGAACCTCGGCAAGACGGAGCTGCTCTTCCTCCCGGGGAAGGACTGCCCGTTCCATGATCTCGCCATCACGGTTGACAACTCCGTTGTGTCCTCCTCCCAGAGTGCGAAGAGCCTTGGCGTGACCCTGGACAACACCCTGTCGTTCTCCGCTAACATCAAGGCGGTGACCCGATCCTGTAGGTTCATGCTCTACAACATTCGGAGAGTACGACCCTGCCTTACACAGGAAGCGGCACAGGTCCTAATCCAGGCACTTGTCATCTCCCGTCTGGATTACTGCAACTCGCTGTTGGCTGGGCTCCCTGCCTGTGCCATTAAACCCCTACAACTCATCCAGAATGCCGCAGCCCGTCTGGTGTTCAACCTTCCTAAGTTCTCTCACGTCACCCCGCTCCTCCGCACACTCCACTGGCTTCCAGTTCCACCTCTGGCCTGCTGGCTCCCCTATCTCTGCGGAAGCATAGTTCCCGCTCAGCCCAGTCAAAACTGTTCGCTGCTCTGGCACCCCAATGGTGGAACAAGCTCCCTCACGACGCCAGGACAGCGGAGTCACTCACCACCTTCCGGAGACATTTGAAACCCCACCTCTTTAAGGAATACCTGGGATAGGATAAAGTAATCCTTCTACCCCCCCCCCCCCCCCCACCCCCCCCACCCCAAAAAAAATTGTAAAGTGGTTATCCCACTGGCTATAAGGTGAATGCACCTGTTTGTAAGTCGCTCTGGATAAGAGCGTCTGCTAAATGACGTAAATGTAAATGTAAATGTAAGCATGGGGGTGGAAACATCATGCTTTGGGGCTGTTTTTCTGCAAAGGGACCAGGACGACTGATCAGTGTAAAGGAAAGAATGAATGGGGCCATGTATCGTGAGATTTTGAGTGAAAACCTCCTTCCATCAGCAAGGGCATTGAAAATGAAACGTGGCTGGGTCTTTCAGCATGACAATGATCCCAAACACACCGCCCGGGCAACGAAGGAGTGGCTTCGTAAGAAGCATTTCAAGGTCCTGGAGTGGCCTAGCCAGTCTCCAGATCTCAACCCCATAGAAAATCTTTGGAGGGAGTTGAAAGTCTGTGTTGCCCAGCGACAGACCCAAAACATCACTGCTCTAGAGGAGATCTGCATGGAGGAATGGGCCAAAATACAAGCAACAGTGTGTGAAAACCTTGTGAAGACTTACACAATTGGTGGCTGACTAAATACTTTTTTTCCCCACTGTATGTTATGAATCCAATTTGTTGTGGCTAACGTTAGCTAGGTTGCTAGGTGGCTAACGTTAGCTAGGCTAGGGTTAGGGGTTAAGGTTAAGGTTAGGGTTAAGGTTAGGAGTTAGGTGAAAGGGTTAGGGGAAGGGTTAGCCAAAAGGGTTAAGGTTAGGGTTAAGATAAGGGTTAGCTAACATGTTAAGTAGGTGCAAAGGAGCTAAAAAGTAGTAAGTCATTGAAAAGTGGCTAATTAGCTAAAATGGTAAAGTTGTCTGTGATGAGATTCGAACACGCAACCTTCGGGTTGCTAGACCTTCGTGTTATACACCCTCCTTTTGATTTTGCCTTAAGTAACCTTTTATCTTATGTAACCATTCCAAACTTAACATATTATACTAATTCCAGTGTCCCTGATTTACGTTCACTATGTTACCTCTCGTCTATGAGACCAGTTTGGATGTCTAAACCACTTTTCATCTTGGCCGGTGTCTGCTAACTCACTGGGTTCTCTGAAAGTCGCATTGCCATTGCTTGTGGACTCCTCGATTTACTAGGTATTGCTATGACTGACGCTTTCTGTAATCTGTTCCCCTTTCTACTCCGCCTTCGCCTCTGTCCTGCCAAGTGGTCTCGTCTCCCGCGGGACACACCTATATCATCACTGGGATTACACCCGCCGCGTGCCGCCTCCCCTTCCCCGCCACTACTCCACTCATGCCCCGCTCTCACTCCCTGAATACAGACTTTCCGTGATACTAGGAATGGCCGTTTTTCTGAACGACTATACGTGATAAATGAACACAGAAGAAAGAAAAGAAGACAATAGGAACTAATGGACAATGGCAATAGTTGACAAGAAGTTCAACTGAGTTCTGCATTTAAAATAAGCCTATTTTACAATTGTCTCATAGAAACATTGTAGGCATTGCTGTAGAAATATACTACGTTTTTTTTTAAAGAAGGCAAACCTGCGAACAGTCCTATTTTGCCAAACACCTGTCATGATTTCGGCGAATTGAGGTGTTGGACAAACGGGACATACCCAGCGCGCATTCCCTCAAATTTTGGCTACATGATAAAAATTTTGCAGAGCAAACCCATTCCCATCCGCCAGCATTCTAACCGATGTGCCCGGCGTGCTCTGCTGATGCTCGCAGGAATTATCGCAGGAGTTGTTGCCGTCCTCCAAATCCTTCTCCAACGAACGGATTACAGACAGTACCAGCTAGAGATCGTCGGTAACGGTGCCTGACTTTCCCTGGCAGGGTAGCTGCGCGGGACGAGAGATGAGTTCCCTCCTCTCTACGCTAGTCATGTTGTAAGTTAAATGTGCAGTAACCCTTGATGCGCAACCTAAGGTTTTCTGGAGTGAAACGAATGGAGGTATTGTGTGTGTGTGTGTGTGTGTCTGCTTACATGTTTCTCTTCATGCATGCTCTGACCATCAGTCCAGCACAGCAGGTGTGGTGTTTCATACACTGTCATATAGGGTGCATGTTCTCCTTTAGCCATTGTAATAATGAAAAACGTTCATCTGGACAGCTAACTGTGGTATAGAAATGGCATCTATTTTTCAGTACCATGTGGTGTTGGAATCTTGTGCTTCTTATCTGTATAATTCCTCTGAGGCTGTTCCACATGGTCATACATTTCCTGTAAACTGTCATGTCAGCTCCTGTAGCATATTGCTCCTCTGGCCACTAAAGCATGTCCCATGACCCAGACACCTCTTTCCATTCTCCCCAGACTAAAAGACCAGACATTTGTCACTGACAGAATGTCTGCTAAGGGGTTATGAATTAATGAGATGATGACTGTACCTTATTAGTGTCTTTGATGGGTGTCTGTGTTTGACAGGATCATGTGATTTGTGAAGAGGATAATCAGCAATTAGCTATTCCCCAAATTAGGGCATCCATCCACTTGAACCAAACCTAAAGCAATTCTGTCAGACTCGTTAACGAATCTTACATTTACAATGAAAAATTAACCTGTTTCCAACTTTAAAGTGTCCCTGTCACCACCATTATGACCTTGTATCTCTCAAACTTACACTCCACTTCTCAAACAACAGAGACCAGGTCAGATTTTTACAGAGGTTTCATTTGAGGTAACACAGAAGTAGAACAAAAGTAGTCTGAGTAGAATTGGAGGCCAGACATCTGTGTGCGCTTTGGGCCAGCTGTAGGCTGCGTTCCAGGCATCCCTACATCTGGACAGCACAGGGGGTATGGGGTCCCCTAATGAGCACACAGCCAGGGGGTACGGGAAGATATGAAAGAAAAAACACTCTCTACTGCTAACGTGTCTCCTGCTCTTCCCCCTCTTTATTTAAGTAGTTCAGCATTATTTATGTACCGTAATCTATGTATCTATGCATGTGCTGCGTGTGCTGTGTTTATACAGGGAGGGATAAGAGATTGAAGTGCTTAGATAGATGGCTGGAATGATTAGTGAATATTGATATTCTGTTAGCTCATCATAGATATGAGCTGAGCTCAGCAGCTGTCCCTAGAGAGAGACAGCATGGCCACTGTCTGTTGCCGTGAGGGTTTGATCTAGAAATGACCTTTTTTGGAGGCATAGAGACTGGTTTAAAATTGGTGGTGGAGACAGAAAAGAGGCAGGAGTGTGGCAGCCAGACTGCTTTTGTATTATTTTGGAATGCAAAAATACCAGATGTAATCTCAATGCAGATCCATTCTCCCCTTCTCTCAGATCTGTCCAGGCTTTACTGGTGGTCTGCAGCCCCCTGCAGGTAAATGTGTGTATACAATTGTATCTATTGTGTTTTCTAATATTCCATTCGGATTAAAGTCTCTCATTCTAACCACATGCCTGTCTGTTTTGTGGTGGTACAGGTCTTAGCTGATGACCATGTTAATTTCAGTGTATACGTGGAGAATCAGACACGGGTTCGAGACGCCATGAGCCGCCGGCAGCACAGAGTCTACCAGCTGTACAGCAGGACAAGTTGCAAACACGTGCAGGTGATGGGGAGGAGAATCAGTGCCAAGGGAGACGATGGGGATACATATGGTAAGATATAGTACTACTACTTCCTACAATATACAGAACACGCCAATACAAATCAGAATCAACAAGAACCAAGCAATAATTTCCTATATGTTATCACATCTACAGTACATGGCCCTCAAAATCATAAAGAAAGTAGCAAATAGACAGACAAGCCTATGACACATAGAGAGAAACAGAAAGATGGAGCGGCAGTTTGTGTGGTAGACTCAGTCCCGCTATCGATAAGGTCATCGATTTTCCATTTATCCCGCTTTGTTGCTTTGTTGTAGGTGGATCGAGGGGGGTTTGGGTAGTGAGAGGGAGAGTAATGTTATTGATTTGGTTTGACCTCTGCATTGTGGCTACATCAATTAACTAATTGCATGTAACAATCCCCCCATCCCATCCTATGTGCTCAATCTCTATGCCCACTCCCACATGACAAAATACTACAGTTTACTATATAATACCACAGTACTTACTATAGAATGATATAGAATTCTGTAGTAAGCTGTAGTATACTGTAGAATACTATACTCCACACTGTAGTATCCCTCGATCATGTGTAGTACTTACCATAGAATTGTGTAGTATACTGTAGAATACGATATTTCAAACTGTAATATCCCTCAATCACGTGTAGTACTTACTATACAATTTTGTAGGATACTGTAGAATGCTATACTCCACACTGTAGTATCCCTCGATCATGTGTAGTACTTACTATAGAATTGTGTAGTATACTGTAGAATACGATATTTCAAACTGTAATATCCCTCAATCACGTGTAGTACTTACTATACAATTTTGTAGGATACTGTAGAATGCTATACTCCACACTGTAGTATCCCTCGATCATGTGTAGTACTTACTATAGAATTGTGTAGTATACTGTAGAATACGATATTTCAAACTGTAATATCCCTCAATCACGTGTAGTACTTACTATACAATTTTGTAGGATACTGTAGAATGCTATACTCCACACTGTAGTATCCCTCGATCATGTGTAGTACTTACTATAGAATGATGTAGTGTAATGTAAAATACTATACTACTCACTGTGTTATCCCTCCATCATGTGTGGGTCGTTATTATTCACCAATATTGAATTTTAAAAGCCTGTTATATTAAAAGATGTGCACTTTAATATAGACCACATAGAGTATTAAATCAATTTTTAATATGAATAAAGGCTTTCTAAAGTGCCAAAATTCAGCATTTTGACATGTCCCTTCGTCAACCCTGTGTCACTTCTAGGAAGATTTCAACCCACTTAATCCCCAAAATGTATCCAAGTTTCACCATCATTGTAAAGGCCTAGTTATTTTTCTGCTTTGACAAAGTCATTTCTGAAGACTATTATTTATATTCATGATATTAGTGATGCATTTACGTCTGTCCCTCATGTTAACCCTGTTATGCAAACAATGTACCCCTTTAAAATAAAGGACCATTCCACCAAGTTTAATGATTCACAGCAGGTGACATCATTTGGGTCTTCTGAACAGCATGGTGGAAAAGGAAGGAAGGCTTCACTCTCTTTTTGGTCTATTTATAATTGTTTTATCATCTTTGACTGATGTGGTCGAGCTTAATAACACGTCAACCCTGTTAGCTCAATTAATGTTAGGAAACTAGAATATGATTTAACTTTCATTATGATTAAACTTTCATCATGCTCTTCACCACATGAGGAGTAATGGCCGATCTTCACCTAAACCTCAACCCTATTATCGTCAACCCTGTTAGAGGCCCAACGGAAACTTTATCAGGTTGATGTTATACGTGAGTTGATTTGTACAAGGGATACTTGATCAATGAGAACATTTTAGATTTATCTCAAACATGAGTTTAATAAATAATATGTAGGCAGTTACATAGGTGTCTGTAACAGTGTTTGTTGACAGACAGTGTGGTTCAAGTGCAGATAAAATGCTCTTAGTTCATAGGATTTTAATGCCTGAGATGGGAAAAAGTGTTTTTCCATAGGCTAAACATATCCTCCATGCAACTGAATGTTGAAAGAAAATATATTTTAAAGTTAATTTCTTTAAAGTTTGCATGTCCAAAAGGCACCCATTTCGTGGAACGACCTGTGTAGTACTTAGTATAGAAATGTGTAGTATACTATAGAATACTATAGTAAATACTACAGTATTATCAGCAAAAAAAAGATTGTAGTAAATACTACAGTAATATCCGCAAAAACACTTCAGTGTCTGAAAAATACAGCAGTTTTTTAACTGTAGTAATACTACAGTATTTAATTTGCATATACCCCACCCATTCCCCTCCCCCACATCCCAATTTGTGCCACTCATGAGTGAGAAACCTACATGCCAAGTATAGACCATATATTGTGTTCCCTACATGATATAGAAAAGCCAGAAGCTTTGAACTATCCGTTCAGACTCCAGTCTTACCTACAGGTTATGGAAAATGTGCTATTTTAGTTTCCTCAAGGAGAAAGCCCCCACTTCTGTGTCAAAGATAAGACAACAAAAACACTATTGTGTATACTACAGTAAATACTACAGTAATGTCCGCAAAAACACTACAGTATACTATAGTCATGTCCGCAGAAACACTACAGTGAATACTACAGTATATAAATATAGTAATACTACAGTATTTATACCATACTATAGTATTTTTTCATGTGGGCTTTTACAATCTGTCTTTTTGTGCCTCTGTCTCTTTCCAAGCCCAGCTTGTTGTGGAGGCTGATACCTTTGGAAGTCAGGTGAGAATCCGTGGTAAAGAGACCAACTTCTACCTGTGCATGAACCGTCGAGGCAAGCTTGTGGGGAAGGTGAGACAAACACGATTCTTATTCTGACTCTCGCTACACGTTCCTTTTAATGTATACATTTAAACGACTTGGGAGTTATTCACTTTGCATCTTATATTGACACTACCAGTGCTCGACTTGGGCAGGAGCTCTCTGGAGCAGAGTACCGGCACCTCAACATTTCTACTGCTTGAGCTCCTGTTCCTTTTATAGAATAATAGCTCAAAAGTATTGTGGAACTCCTGCACCTAAATATAAACAGTACCGGCACCCAAAACGAGTACCGGCACCTATTTCAGTCCAAGTCAAACACTGGACATTATCATGTGTGTGTGTGTGTATTCCAGAAGGCTAGTAATCGCAGTGCAGACTGTGTCTTCATTGAGATGGTGTTGGAGAACCACTACACAGCTCTGATGTCAGCACGCTATCCAGGCTGGTACGTGGGCTTCAGCAAGAGGGGGCGCCCCAGGAGAGGCCCTCAGACACTGCCCAACCAGCAGGATGTTCACTTCATGAAGCGCCTGCCCCCCGGGGAACAGCCCGACCTGCAGCCCTTCCGCTTTACCACGGTCAGCAAGAGGAGTAAGAAAGTGAGAGGGACCCGACCCACAGCTACTACAGCACCTACATAGTCAATGCCACAACACATACCAAAATGACTCGACAACTGTCCTTCCCCCAGTGAATTAAATGTAAGGAGTTAGCTGGGCTGAGCCCAGGTAACGACCTAACTGAGTGGTGCATACTACAGTATGTGCATCAAAAGACTTGGAGCTAAACAATCTGACCACATCAGGGAAGATGTTGTCCTTGCCCTTTTCCTCCCCATTCCAGAGACAGTGTTGTCTCAAAGACTGTTGAATTACAATGTACAGTGCCAACCAGTCTAGTTAGGCCACAGAAGACAGCTTTACTCAGTGTTTGCTCCCAGAGACACTAAAGTTGCTCTACCAAAGACTACTGAACCATAGCGTTCAATACCAAATATTCATGTTTTCAACATCCCAAAGACAACTGGTCAACTGTTCAGTACCAAACACCCAAACCAACAAAGGCGACTGGACTGTAACGTGTACCCTACAGAGGGACAGTCATGGTTTCTCAATACATTATTTCTATGTTTGTCTTCATATGACTTAGGAGCTACTGTTCCTGCCTATTCACTCAATACAGAAAGCTGCTGTAACATAGTTAGTACAATATCTTAAGTTTGTCTCATATGAAAATATTTAAGGAGAAATTGAGAAGTTATATGCATTTTATTAACATTGTTATTATTAAAATTATTTATTTAACTTGTTGGTATGATAGCTGTTTTAGACCAATGGTATTGCCTAATTGAATACAAACATATGGTCCTAAATGTTACTGGTATGCTATATTGTGTGATACACATTATCAATATGCTAATCAACAAATGTTTTTCCATGTTTGTGGCCATACAGGAAAAGACTCAACCATGACATTGTAGACACCATGCTCTGAGTCGTTGCTGTTCCATAAAAAAGTACAAGTGCCATCTGGTGGTCACTGGAAATTGGAGCATCTGCACAGAACCTGCCAAACCACAGTCAACTGATTTATCCCTTGGAAAACAAGCTGAGCCTATTGTGACCTTCTCGATGGGATGCAGCTGCCAATACATATAATCAATTCTGATCAGGTTAATACACATCTTGAGTTCATAACTGAACGGGAAATGAGCTAAAACAAGCAGGGAGTACCTACACTAACAGATAGTGTGTTATAGATGTATCTAGTTGTGAGCAGCGCAGCCCTTTCATAACTGAATGAAGGCCTCAACAGCCACACCCATAATCATGTCATTTCCTGCAGCTGGGATGTCTTTCCCAGGCAGGCAGCCTGCACGTCTCAGACATGTGGGCCCTGTAGTACTGAGGAGGGCGGGGCAGGAGGTAGTCTCTTACTGCCCAACACCATGGAACATTTCCTTGAGAGAATGTGTGAGGCAGAGAATGGGCTGAATGTGGGTTCCAGTGCATTACTGCATTCCTGATCACCCTTTCTGGGTAACAGCATTCCGTCTGCAGACTAACTTTGATCCTCCCCTCGATACACTACACACACTCTTTCCAAACACCAATTCGGAGTTAATAATATATATCCTCAATTCTCTAGTTTCTTTCCAATTTCTAGAGCCACACTCATTAAATAAAAGAATGTAACACACAACACGTCCTGCTTCTGTCATTTTCAGACCAGGCCTCTCTAGATCAGGATTATTTTTAATAGACGAGCAATGTGAGGTTCACTTCAACTGAGTGGTGGTTTGGTCTGTACATATAGTACCAATGGCATAGATGCATGATATTGAACAAGCACACTGCTCATTCATACACGCTGGTTCACATTCAAGTACTTTATTATTAATGTTTTTTTGTCTTCCTTTAAAAAAATCATTTCAATATACAACACCATTTTAGACGAGACAATTCTGTTTACAACTAATTTCAGCTCAGTAAGGGGTCATTCAGAACCTAGACAGGCAGCAAGAAGGGGACAGAACAGGACAGAAGGAGAGCAAGTGAAAGACGGACACAGGATAGAGAACTAGGGATGAGAGGGTGAATTTGAGAGGGGATTGTAATTATTAGTACACTGTAACAAAGAAAGCTAAATGAATTACAAGTCCCAAATAAAAAATACAAATAACTAAAATATAAAATTTTAAATAGGTCACTAGCACACTGTTGTCCCATCACTCATCCATGCAGTACAGTCTTCAGGGAAGAAATAAACGTCAGCTTTCTCTTACAGTTTTTTTTTTTTTATACCAAACAAAATATGAGAAAATAACAAGATTGATATGTCCTTGGTGCCCAAAGGGGCGGGCCTGAGGCATCTGTCACTCAGTCTGGATGGAAAGAGTTGAGCCCCGACCCTTACTCCTTTCTTTCCTCCCAAGGGCATCTTCAACAGGCCGTCTCCAGCCCTCTCTCCATTCCTCCAGCCATTCAGATCAGATTCCTTCATGTCCATGTCTGTGCCTCTGTCTTGGGTGAGCAGAGTAAAGGGAGGTGGGGCTTAGTTTAACCTAGTAGACTCCGCTCTGAGTACGTTTGTGTGCGTTTTGGTTGGGGGGGTAAGGGGGCAATGTGTTTGAGCACTGAAGGCCCGATGGGGAGGGATGACTCCTCCACATGAACACCAGAAGGAGGACAGAGATGCAGAGATGGTGCAAAGAGGATGATGGAGGAGTGGGAAGGGAGGGTGGGTCCATTCCGTGACCTCTGACCCTGGCACATTGACTTGGCCATTAGGACTGTCCACGCACACATCAAATTCCACCGGGCCTGCCCTGAAGAGAGAGAGACAAACTCAGCACACTATGCAAGTAATCCTGTAAGTGCATTCAATTTAGGTCAGGAGTCCCGCCTCCAAGCAAATAATGAAGTTAGAGTTGTATATGAGCTGCAGTGCTTACCAACATTTTTTTTGTAGACTGAAGATCAATAGAAGAAAAAGGGTGGCTGGCTTAAAGGTTGAGTCAGCAATGCACCAAGTAAACAGCAATATCGGGCCAACAGAAGCCCACCCATGCAGATATTTTTAGTGAGTGCAACATCTTGCATCGCACTCATCTGCAGTTCATCATGCTGCTTGTGACGTCATATCGATGAGTCTCAGTTCAACTATTGAATTCAATAAATGTAAAATACTCAACAAAAGCAAACTTGTATTTTTTGTGTGTGCACCCTATTTCCACTATTGATCCTGTAGGTGTGTCACTTCATATATTTGTCTGTAGGACACCGTGTGTGTGTGTGTGTGTGTGTGTGTGTGGGGGGGGGGGGGGGTTAGGGAAGGGTAAAACATTTTCTAAATCAATTAGTTGATGGCTGCTAGGGCCGATGAATCAACAACAACAAAATTATTAATCCAAATTTGGCCTGCAAAATATAGAAAGATATGTGCGTGCATACAAGACATGCTTATCTTAACTATCGAAAAGCTACACATTTTCAATCTGAACAACATATTTTTCATAAAAAATATCACTTATTTATGTTCTATTCATCCCTAGTGTGTGTAATTTCTAGTGAGAGTGTATGCAGGTGTGTACTCCTGACAGTGTGTGTGAGTCGTGTGCACCTGCTATCTGGAGATGTATGTATACGTGCGAGAGGGCGACCGGCCCTCAGTCTGTCCATTGGTCGACACGTTCAGGAAGTCCCAGATGAGGATGGTGTCGTCATGGGAACTGCTGATGATCTGGAACTCATCAAACTGTAGCCGGAATACACGCCCAGAGTGCTCCTGAAAGACATCATATTCATCAGTATCCTCTACAATAACCATTCTTATAATTATGACCTCCACCACCTCCATGTTCTAGATCCAGACTAGACTCACCACCAGTGTGCGCAGACAGAGGGTGCTGGCAGGGGCGCGAGGGTCCAGAGCAGCTTGCAGGTCCCATACTTTGATTTTACTACAAAAGGATCAGCACAGATACACCCTCTTAACATCATCATCATGTAAACAACAAAATAGTATTCAAGTCTTGTTAGTGGATAAGCTGGAGGACCCCTTACTCTAGCCTATAAAAGTTTGACTAACAGCCTAACAAATTGACTCTGATTAACAGGCCGAGACTGGGATTGAGATTGGGGAACCAAGAGAATTACAAAGATTAACAGACGCCAAGTGCAGGATTAGAGTGAAGGAATAAAACCATTACCAGTCAGATCTCCATTAGCAGTGAGAGATTAGCTCAGACTAACACCTGCCACAAAAGGATAAACCCTCCCTTACCCATCGTAGGCTCCACTAACGATCCTTTTGTTGTCGAAGCGAATGCAGCGGACTAACTCTTCATGGCCTTCCAATACACGCAAACATGCCCCGCACTCAATATCCCACAACCTGAGGAGAGAGAATACATGTTAGTTTAGTAACATTTGACAGAATAGTCATGACAAATTATGTTCATCTCCAGGTTACAGATTCTATAAATATAGACCAGTAATAAACACCCAGATTAATATTCCACCCTCATAAACAAACACATGATACACATACGACAGCCACACTCACCGGATAGTGTTGTCCGAGGAGCCGCTGACCACTAGTCTGTCTCTGTACTGCAGACAGGCGATGCCTCTTTTATGGCCGTTCAGCGTACGTACAAACTCACACGTGCTGGTGCTCCACACCTGCAGGGGAGACAAGGCAAAAACACAACCCAGAGGTCAACACAAACAGGCAGAGGCATTTAGCCTACATAATCCTTCATGTTAACACTAACAGTTTTTACTTTCCATCTCTTGAAACCTCATCCTTCCTGTTTCCTTCATTAGAATGCATCTGTACTAATCACTGTCTGGACCGGACGCTGAAGCTGCTGAGAATGTCTGCAGCCAGAGCTATAATCCAGCTGTACACCTCTCCCTCTTCACACTCACTCACGTGTCAGAGAGTGATACTGTGCAGCTGCATGAACACATTAATGTAAACACATGAAGGTATAATAGTACTACACATTTAGGGGTGTTGAGTAACACTCCCTCTCCCAAACACATACACACATACTGCAGTCTGCCATCTCTCCCTTATTACTTAGGGAATGTTTTCAGAGAGCTGGAGCATAGTGTGCGGGAGACGGCTCGGTACGGAATGCCTTGGCCTGTCTCCCAGGGCGATGGGTGGGCTAGCCAGGGTCTCTTTGTTCCTGGAATCCTGGCTGCCCACAAATCCACCGTCTGGAAGACAGGGGGAGGTACTGGGGAGCTGGGGATGAGACTGGGGTTGGGGCTGAGATGAGGAGACAGAAGGGCAGGGCCACAGTTTGGCCCCAGGAAGAGAGACTTCAGCTCTGGACTCTGGGTTCAGTCAGTGCTTCCCACAGCAGGCCTCACACACTGCGCTAACTCCTGCTCTATGCTGCCCTCTACTGGACACGTTGATGAAACTGAAGCCGCTCATTTATCAGTCTAGCTCACAGAAAGTAACACACACACACACTATCATTAGCCAATAAATCAAATCCTGGCTGAATAAAGCCAGATGTGCATTCAGTAGACTCTGCTAAAGCAATGTAAAGTCGCTACTTTTGTATGGTTCAGAGTGCTGGAGGATCATTAAGACAGACATGACCAGAGTTGATGTCAAATGGTTGTCTTTGCAAGATCTGCAATATCTACTGGCCAAATAAGATCTCTAAAGCGTATAAGACAAAGTTTTAAAAAATGGCTTTTAAGATCAAGATGCACAGGATCCATTGGGTTGGACACGTGCTAAGAATGTCTCAAGAAAGGATCCCTAAAGTTGCTCTCTGGAAAATACAAGGTAGGCAGACGAAAGACAAAATGGCGACAGACTGGTGGCTGAGCTGGATCTCTCATGGGACAGGACCCAAGCTACAGCAAAAGACAGACTGTAGTGGCAGAGATTGTTGCGGCCTTAGGTCCCACTAGGGACGAAGAAGACTAAGTTAGTAAGTCTTGTGCCACCGCAAAAGTACTAGAAGATATGCTTGTTGAGATGTTGCCATGCTTGAGGCTCTAGTGAGTTGACCTTAGGTCATCGGGGCAAACTTGCCTTAATGGTACGGTCACCGGACGCTGACACAATGTACTTGTCGTCGAAGTCCACCACGTTGACTGCTGCTCTGTGGCCGACCAGCACGCGGCGCAGACTGATGTCTGTGGGCGAGGCCATGTCCCACACGGCGATGGAACGGTCCTTAGAGCACGTCACCATCAGACCGTTACAGAACCGCAAGTGGAGGACCGCCTCGTTGTGGTGGATCAGAGTGTTCAGCACCTCCCCAGTGTTCACATCCCACACCCTGAGACACCGAGAGAGATCATCAATATCCATCAAACACAATATACCACATGCAGATGCCTCTTCTCTTGAATTAAACACGCTTTGGAGCTTCCTGGAGCATGGGTAAGAGGACAACAGCAGAGAGGGAGAGGAGTTGCTGACCTGACGGTGGAGTCTGAGGAGCCGGTGACAATGACCCTCTCATCATACTGCAGACACAACACTGAGCCTGTATGACCGGTCAGGATCTTCAAACACTCCAGAGACTGCTTATCCCAGATCTACACATACACAGAGGGTGAGAAATTCACAAATTCATCCCCAAATATTATTTCTAAAAAATTTACTAGACATTGCATTGACACATTTTAAAGGCACTTTCTTGTATTCTAAATATGGATATTGTAATCTTGTATTCAAAATATCCAGTAGACATTAGATGACAACCCCCACCCCCCTTCAGTCAACATCAAACAGGAACACCGACCTTGATGGAGTTGTCTCTGAGGCCGCTGATGATCTTGTCGTCGTCATACTGCAGACAGTAAACCCCCTTACTGTTCTCTGAGCGACATTGGATCCGTTGCAGATTGTGCCGACCACACCTCCAGTTGGCCTCAATCGTCTAAAGAGAGAGGGGGGGGGGTCAGTGAATGGGAAACACAGGAAAGATCAGTGAGAAGAGAGGGAGGTTGAAGAAAGGGGGAGCAGCAGAAGCACTCACCTCTATGTCCTGGATGATTTTGGGGTACAGGGAGCGGTAGTAGGAGTTTGGTGGGACTTCTGTGGTTCGATTCTTGAACAGGTACTTTTCCCTAGAAGAGAGAACACAATCACTATTTTAAAAAACACACAAATATATTAATCTCCACAACATCAATTGTCTTTTCCTAAGGTGAAGATGCTTGGATACATTCTATTATGTAGGTTCTTGAGAACAGATAGAAAGATATTGATCCATTCTACTGGTGATCTGAATGAAACTCATTGTTATCCAGGGTGGCCCAGCCAGAGATCCCAGTCCGTACTCACCACTGGTGCCTCTCTGACAGGCCTTTCCAGAGGGGGTCTGTACGGACCATGCGTTCTATGAGTTTCTTCCACAGCATGCCCTCTGAGATGACCCTCTGCCACTCCTTACACACCAGCTCTGCCGAACACAGCGAGCGCGCATCCAGGAAGGACAGGATGTTCTCCGCTATGTGGTCCAGACCCTGAGCTATAACCACAAGGAGAGACACAGTGCAACACATACGTTTAACACAATGGGTAGAAGTACTAATTTAATTGGGAATGTGTGGATGAACAGAGCTTGGGGTGTGTTCATTAGTCAAATACCGTAGCAAACAATTGCAAAACGTTTAGCCTACTGAAAAAGGTTTTGCCCACCGAAAATGTGTTTCTATTGGACAAATTCAGGTAGGTCCCTCCCTGTTTCATTAGCTTCCATTTGGTTCCTAGTCAATATACACCCCTGTAGATGTGTTTCCTTTGGAGCATGCAGTGGTGGCTAGGTTAGGTAGGAGTTACAGTGGGGGGAAAAAGTATTTAGTCAGCCACCAATTGTGCAAGTTCTCCCACTTAAAAAGATGAGAGAGGCCTGTAATTTTCATCATAGGTACACGTCAACTATGACAGACAAAATGAGAATTTTTTTCTCCAGAAAATCACATTGTAGGATTTTTTATGAATTTATTTGCAAATTATGGTGGAAAATAAGTATTTGGTCAATAAAAGTTTCTCAATACTTTGTTATATAACCTTTGTTGGCAATGACACAGGTCAAATGTTTTATGTAAGTCTTCACAAGGTTTTCACACACTGTTGCTGGTATTTTGGCCCATTCCTCCATGCAGATCTCCTCTAGAGCAGTGATGTTTTGGGGCTGTCGCTGGGCAACAGACTTTCAACTCCCTCCAAAGATTTTCTATGGGGTTGAGATCTGGAGACTGGCTAGGCCACTCCAGGACCTTGAAATGCCTCTTACGAAGCCACTCCTTCGTTGCCCGGCGGTGTGTTTGGGATCATTGTCATGCTGAAAGACCCAGCCACGTTTCATCTTATATGCCCTTGCTGATGGAAGGAGGTTTTCACTCAAAATCTCACGATACATGGCCCCATTCATTCTTTCCTTTACACGGATCAGTCGTCCTGGTCCCTTTGCAGAAAAACAGCCCCAAAGCATGATGTTTCCACCCCCATGCTTCACAGTAGGTATGGTGTTCTTTGGATGCAACTCAGCATTATTTGTTCCTCCAAACACGACGAGTTGAGTTTTTACCAAAAAGTTATATTTTGGATTCATCTGACCATATGACATTCTCCCAATCCTCTTCTGGATCATCCAAATGCACTCTAGCAAACTTCAGACGGGCCTGGACATGTACTGGCTTAAGCAGGGGGACACGTCTGGCACTGCAGGATTTGAGTCCCTGGCGGCGTAGTGTGTTACTGATGGTAGGCTTTGTTACTTTGGTCCCAGCTCTCTGCAGGTCATTCACTAGGTCCCCCCGTGTGGTTCTGGGATTTTTGCTCACCGTTCTTGTGATCATTTTGACCCCACGGTGTGAGATCTTGCGTGGAGCCACAGATCGAGGGAGATTATCAGTGGTCTTGTATGTCTTCCATTTCCTAATAATTGCTCCCACAGTTGATTTCTTCAAACCAAGCTGCTTACCTATTGCAGATTCAGTCTTCCCAGCCTGGTGCAGGTCTACAATTTTGTTTCTGGTGTCCTTTGACAGCTCTTTGGTCTTGGCCATAGTGGAGTTTGGAGTGTGACTGTTTGAGGTTGTGGACAGGTGTCTTTTATGCTGATAACAAGTTCAAACAGGTGCCATTAATACAGGTAACGAGTGGAGGACAGAGGAGCCTCTTAAAGAAGAAGTTACAGGTCTGTGAGAGCCAGAAATATTGCTTGTTTGTAGGTGACCAAATACTTATTTTCCACCATAATTTGCAAATAAATTCATTAAAAATCCTACAATGTGATTTTCTGGATTTTCTTTTCTCAATTTGTCTGTCATAGTTGACGTGTACCTATGATGAAAATTACAGGCCTCTCTCATCTTTTTAAGTGGGAGAACTTGCACAATTGGTGGCTGACTAAATACTTTTTTCCCCCACTGTATTGGTTGTGGTAGGTAGCTTAGTGGTTAAGAGCGTTGTGCCAGTAACCGAAAGGTCGCTGGTTCTAATCCCCGAGCCGACTAGGTGAAAAATCTGTCGATGTGCCCTTGAGCAAGGCACCTAACCCTAATTGCTCATGTAAGTCGCTCTGGATAAGAGCGTCTGCTAAATGACTAAAAATGAAATGAAATGAATGTATATTCTGTATATGTGCATTCATTTTAGGGATGTGACAAATGCATTTTGCATTTAAAAATTCATTTTTGTCTCGGTTTATCATTAAAACAATAAGAAAAAATAGCCAAATTCCACGTCAATTCACAATGCAGAATAATGGTCCAATTACATATGGCCGCTAAGTTATATCTACCGCAGTCATATCCTTGAAAGCACCTCGGCTACGACATATTTGTTTGTCTAAGGGTACACTACAGCTTTTTAAATGCAGACACAAAACCTTCTCTAAAGATTTATTTGTTTTTTATTTAACCTTTATTTAACTAGGCAAGTCAGTTAAGAACAAATTCTTATTTACAATGACGGCCTACACCGGCCAAACCCGGACGACGCTGGGACAATTGTGCACCGCCCTATGGGACTCCCAATCACGGCCGGTTGTGATACAGCCTGGAATCAAACCAGGGGGTCTGTAGTGACGCCTCAAGCACTGAGATGCAGTGCCTTAGACCGCTGCGCCACTCGGGAGTTTCAAAGTGCCTCTGAACAGGCATTTTTCTGTAAAGGAATGACACTTCTGAAGCAGGACTAACGTCCATCACTAGGCGACCATAACTGTCAATCAAATAACCTTGAACTGCCTGCGCGCAGACCACTCACTCCTAAAAGAGTACTTGAAAGTTTAAATACTGTGACTTACCAAGGCATTTAGTAGAAAGAAAACACATCTTCCGCTAGGAATTGACTCCTAACATTCAGTATCTTTTTAAACGGAGACTGATTAGTTGCCGTACTTCCGAGAACACAAACACTTGCATCTTTCATAGCGAGCTAGCAAGGGACAGAGAGAGAGAGGGGAGGGGCACAGTATAGGCAGGTCGGCCACTTGGCAGGCGGAGTCAGAACCGTGCACTAGGCCTATCTATCGGCAACTAAACTTAGTGGTTAAGAGCATTGTGCCAGTAACCGAAAGGTCGCTGGTTCTAATCCCTGAGCCGACTAGGTGAAAAAAATCGGTCGATGTGCCCTTGAGCAAGGCACTTAACCCTAAATGCTCCTGTAAGTCGCTCTGGATGAGAGCGTCTGCTAAATGACTAATTATTTATTATTATATCGGCAATCAAAAGCTGTATCTCGCAATGGAATGCTGTATTTTGTAATTTCATGGCTTGCAATGTCTAGCAACTTCAGTAAAGCAGGGCCTATGATCAATGAATAGACTAGGATATTATACACGCAACAGACCGAAGACTGAACACACAATCGCATCATTCGCAAAGAGAAAGAGCAGGTGAGCCAGCTGCACTGTGATTTAAATGTTAGAAAAATATATAATAATAATAATAATAATACATTATTTTTCCATTTGGGATTTTTCTTAACATTAAGGATCCCAATTTTGTTTATGTTCACACCCCTAATTAATTTGGTGCAATAATACATGACGTGGTCATACTAACAAAGTAATATCAAACTGCAGTGTGAACCATACCTGGCAGTGCAGTGATGAAGTCCCTTTGGAGCATTGGTTTGAGGTAGGAGTTGATGTGGCCGTGTTGGTAGTGGCACATGCGTGAGATCAGGTGTTCCACAAACTCCACCTGGTCAGCCTCAGACCACTGGTCAAACAGCTGGATGCACACGTCCTTCTCCTTCTCATAGTTCCCTTCCGATGGCCGCTTCCTTGAGCCTGTCATCGTCATCGGACCGTTAGTGATCGTCTGAACACAGAAATGGAAAGGTTATAAACCATCAGTCTACAGTGGTCTGTACTGTAAAATGTATGGACTCGTCAGAGCTTCAGTCTACATGGCTCTCTTGTCAAATGAGGGACGGGCATTGGGCCTTAATAAAGCTAGTCAGTGTACAGAACTCTATGGGCCGGTTTCCCAGACAATCTCTATTGAGCATTATTTTAAGTCCAGTACTAGAATTAATCTATGTATGGGAAACCGGCTTTATATATTGAGTCTGGTTTTGGTCTGTGTAGATTGCCTTTTCAAATTGCTGGCCATGACGACGTTGTGCTCTGAGAAAAAATGTTGATGACAAAAGGGTATGCTGTAGTCTGGCATTAGTACACCCACTGTTTCACTGACCACTGTAAACCACGACTAGATTGTCAATATTGATGGCACACGGCACACTTTAAAGATAATTATGAAGACATAAAAAGGGGAGATAACACAGTGTATAAATGTGTTCTTTGAGGTGGACTAGGCTAATGGGCTCCCGAGTGGCGCAGCGGTCTAAGGCACTGCATCTCAGTGCTTGAGGCGTCACTACAGACCCCCTGGTTCGATTCCAGGCTGTATCACAACCGGCCATGATTGGGAGTACCATAGGGCGGCGCACAATTGGCCCAGCGTCGTCCGGGTTTGGCCGGTGTAGGCCGTCATTGTAAATAAGAATTTGTTCTTAACTGACTTGTCTAGTTAAATAAAGGTTACATAAAAAAAAATATATACACTACCATTACACTTCAGTGACTGACTATCTGGCCATGGACCCATGGTCTGTTGGCTCACCTTGAACACTGTGATCTTCTTTGATGAGAGGTCATCTGTCTGGGAGTCCATGAAAGTGGTGTTCTGAGGGAGAGGAGAGAGAGGAGGCCATTAGTAAATCAAGAGACACATTATTCATTAACATAACACAAAGCCAGCCCAAATCTTCTGGTCGAAACTGTACAACATATAATATAATAATATGCCATTTGGCAGACGCTTTTTATCCAAAGCGACTTACAGTCATGCGTGCATAATTTTTTGTGTGTGTGTATGGGTGGTCCCGGGGATCGAACCCACTACCTTGGCGTTACAAGCGCCATGCTCTACCAGCTGAGCTACAGAGGACCATGGGGACCAATTACAATGCCAGAATAGCAGGCTTGCCATAAATTCTAATCTGAAGAAACAGTCAGTCAACGTAAACTAATTGTTTAAGTATGGGGGGCTGGGTTAAAGCTTAATGTGTATTAGCAGATGCTTGTTGGATTTGAGGGGGGAGGGAGGGAGGAATCCATGGCTTGTCTACAGCTGCCCCTTCTTCAGACCTGCAAAGCCATGTCAATCTGACACCTGTATTCAGAAGACTGACATGAAATCAGGTAAAGAAATCAGACCTTGTAAGGTTGGCTGTGAGAGGTAATGATATTGCCAGATGGTCTGATAATTCCATTTAAAACATAAAACGAGAAGACAAATTGAGAGCTGGGAAATGCTATGGGTGGCAACAGTTGTATCTTGAGGTGTCTTATTGCCACCCCCTTTTTATAGAAAAACACAGCAGGTGCTAGACACTTCCGACTGTGAGTGTGTGTCCTGGCTGTGTCTAAATGTTATCAGCCTTGGTGTCCTCCTAGGATTGTGTGGGTATGTTTGTTTGGGGCAACAAATTACCTACAACTGAACCTAACAGTATGTTTGTTGCCAAAACACACGCAGTCATTGTTTTATTTAGCTGACATTAATCCTGCCTGTATCGACATTATTAAGTGAAAGTGTCATATGACTATAGCCTTACCCTAACATATGCCACAAGACTGACATGCTCTGTCCAATACAGAAGCACAGGACTAGGCTGCTAACGTTACTTTGCAAGATAGCCAGTGACATATTGTGTGGAAACAGAGGAATGATCGATATGGGCAAAGATTTTCTAAGGTGACAAAACAGAGAACACTGTCTGGAACAAATGCACCTATGAAGGAGCAAACTAGATAATCGGATACGTGGGTGACATCAATCTACGGATGGCTAGCTAGCTACCGATTATAGCTACCCATCATCATTTTTCTCTCCAACATTACCGCACGATTACGTTCATTTCTGAATAGCTAACCTACCTACCTGGCCTTCTTGTCTGACGAGAATGTCATACGGACTTGTTAGCTAACGTTACCTACTCAGAAAATGTAGGCAAAACTCCAGCTGTTTGCTTCAACATACCAGCTAGTACTGTGGCTAATGACTTGGTTAGTTACCGGCAACCTAACGTCAGCTAACCACTTCCTTCTACGCAGCTTGAAATGCCACTGATTCACAATGACAGAAACTAAACTCCAGTGTTCGGTAATGAACAGGGTGGGGAGTGGCTCGAAAGCTTGTGGCTAACTTGTTGGAGCCGGACAAATGGCGCAGCGGCGACGCAGTGAGATCCAATCGCCTAGCTAGTTTGCTTTGCTAGTTAACTGGTTAGCATCTAAGTATTTAACGACCGGCCCACTTCCCGGCCCTTTCTCTTACTAGCCGACTCACTCCTCGTCCTGTCGACCTCTACCATTCGGTTGACAATCATTCACCTCCCAATCATTTCCAAAATCATCATTATGGTGTTAGTTAGAATAATTACAAACATGAGCCACGGGTTAATGTTAGATCACGGACATTGGGGCCCTCCCTCTACTCGCTAGGTAGCTAACGGTACTACTAGCTAATGTTAGTTAGCTAAAATCTATTTTGTATGTCATCTTGGCCCTCCTGTTTGTTAAAAATCCTTTCGGTCGATTATACTCTCGAGACATAATACCATATTACGCACTCCGACATCAATATTATGGTGCAGCAAGTAATCATCCGATCCAAAACTCACCATCAGCTCCAACGTTTTGTCCTCCATCTCCGGCTCCATATTGTTGCTCCCCGAAACTCGCTCGCTGCGAAAATGGAAACCCAGCCCTGCGTCCGCGGCGGGCCGCAGCTGATATGACGTCACAGAACTCAACTGGGAGTGGGGCTTCGGGGATGGGTTCACTCAAGCATAGACTTACTTGGTTGGTCGAGAAATGATCAAGAAGGCATTGTCATTCTATACTATTTCTTGGTTGGCTCTTTTCTGCTGCTAAGGCAAAGAGGCTGTGCTCGTTCACGAGGGTCGACTTCCGCCAGGTGCTGCTCACAGATGATCTGATCTATAAATCACCTCCACTTGCAAAAGACTGATTACAACAGTTCTTCATTATGTAAAGATTAGCGAATCTACGCCGTGTCTAGAATTGGGAAGATGATCGGCATAAATGGTTGATAATTACAATTATATTGAAAGTTATATTATATTATAAATGGTCTTCTCTTTATGCATCCCACTTGCTAATTATTGTTATATTGGCAAGGGCTGGACATATAATTAATATAATAAATAACACGTAACTTTCCCTTTTAGCAGTGAATAGAATAGTGTACTTTTCACTGGATGTACCAAGACATTCAATACACTGTAAAATTCCTGTTGAAAAAAATGCAAAGGGAAATATTTACTTTGTGTATACTAAATAAGCCCTGAATCAAACAACACACCCCTGCAGTCACACGAAAGTCATGCAGGAGTATCTATCTTCCATAATCTTAATTGTATGAACCCTTCTAATAGGAAATCGACTGGGCCAACCAAGTCTTGACACCTGATTTGCAAACAATGAGGTCATTTAATACGTCTCATACAAAATGGTGACAGATGAATAGATAAAATCCAGAAAATGTCATATGGGCTTTTGATGTTGAAAAGTAGACACTCATCACATTCATAACTTGATAAAACAGCTCACTGTGCCTCAAAAGGGGCTACAGAGAACCATCACGCCACACCATTCTTACATGCCAGATCCAGACAATAGTCTTTCTTTCCCCCATAGCTCACATTCGTGCTGACAAAATATATTTGTTTAGACACTGCAGGCCACAGAGGCCCCCAAACCAACATCCAGTGCCTCTGACCAAAATGTTCTGTGACTAAATTATTTAGGGCAGGGAGACACAGAGCTAGGCAGGAGTCTGTCAAACCTACAGGTCACTGCCAAACTAAAGGAAACACCAACCTAAAGTGTCTTAATAGGGCATTGGGCCACTACTAGCCAGAACAGTTTCAATGCGCCTTGGCATAGATTCTACATGTGTCTTGAACTCTATTGGAGGGATGTGACACCATTATTCCATGAGAAATGCAATAATTTGGTGTTTTGTTGATGGACATGGTGGTGGAAAACACCATCTCGGGCGCCGCTCCAGAATCTCCCATAAGTGTTCAATTGGGTTGAGATCTGGTGACTGAGACGACCATGGCATATGGTTTATATGGATTTAATGCTCATCAAACCATTCAGTGACCACTCATGCCTTGTGGGTGTGGGCATTGTCATCCTATGGGGGCATAGCCATGGTAGCCAAAATAATGGGCTACTGGGCCTGCCCAGCATTTTCATACATGACCCTAAGCATGATAAGATGTTTATAGCTTAGGAATTTATCAGGAACCACATGTCTGGAAGCACCTGCTTTCAATATACTTTGTATCCCTCATTTACTTGCGTTTCCTGTATTTTGGCAGTTACCTGAATATAATGGTAGGGGAAAGACTAGAGACAGAGCCATTACAGTTGTTCACATCAGTACAATCATACTCAAAATAATAAAAACTATACAGATTTCTATTGATGTAGATCCGGGATGGGCAACTCCAGTCCTCAGGGGCCTGATTGCTGTCACACATTTGCCCCAACCCCAGCTGACACACCTGACTGGAACCAACAGGACCCCAAACAACTTCTACCCCCAAGCCATGACTGCTAAATAGTTCATTAGATAGTTAAGCAAAAGCTACCCGGACTATCTGCATTGACCCTTTTTGCACCAAGTCTTTTGACTCTTCACATACGCTGCTGTTACTGTTTATTATTTATCCTGTTGCCTAGTCACTTTATCCCTACCTATATGTACATATCTACCTCAATTACCTTGTACCCCTGCACATCGACTCGGTACTGGTACCATGTGTATATAGGAAAGTTAGATACTCATTGTGTATTTACTCCTTGTGTTATTTTTCTATTATTTTTCTATTTTTTAAAATCTCTGCATCGTTGGGAAGACCCGTAAGCATTTCCCTGTTAGTCTACACCCGTTGTTTAGAAAGCATGTGACAAATAAACATTTGATTTGACACCAATAATCAAGCTCTTCAGTTTAGAACGCAATTAGTTTAAAATCAGCTATGTTTGCTATGGATGGGAAAAAGTGTGACACCAATCCATCCCCCCGAGGCCTGGAGTTGCCCATCCCTGATGTAGATAGAACTGAAAACTTCACACATACAGAGTGCTCATACCAGGGGTGCATTCAGTACACGTCAACGTTTGCAACATTGCACAACGGTTTGTACTGAACGACACGTTTCCCCAAAACAGTACACACTGTTCTTCAACAGCTTTGGTGGTGGCCTGATCAACATGGGTGTGACCATCTGAAATCACAAAACTCATGCAGCACATCATATGTTAACTGCCCTCTGGGACACCATAATCACGTTCTTCAACTGGTTGTTCAGTACTGAACACAACCCAGTAACATGTCTGGAAGACCAGACACAAAACTGCCTGGCAACAAGCACACTGGCTCTCAGATTGGTCAGTTTCTGTCACTGTGCAATTCAGACAATCAATCACAGTAAACATTGGACACAGACTCTCTGGGGAACATGAAAGTCTGCATGGTGCACAGCACTGTGGGCATGGTTCATTATGCTTAAGGAGACAATAGAGTGGTAAGGGTGTGTGTACAAGGCAATATAAAAGCAGACGATGTAGATGTACAACCCTAATCTCAGCTCTGGGAACTCTGTATGAGTCATAAAGAGCAAGGGTCCTCTAAATAAAAAAACATACAAGAAAACTGTATGGGCTCAGAGTACAGCACCTGTAACAGTGAATAAATTACCAGAGGGGAGCTGGGAGAAAATAAAGCAGGTGCTGAAATAAAGATAGGATGAGACGGGAGGCAGGGACAGGGTATGGGATAGTAAAGCAGCTCCAATTTAATCATTATTTCCCTGCCTGCCCTCTACATAAATTTGATTTAAAAAAGGAAAACAAAACAATCAAAATCAAAATCTCAAAACACAACAGCAGCAGGTACAAGTAACATTTAAAAATAAAGGGAAATTGAGTTGAAGAAGAAAGTGGGGAGTGATGACAGAAATAGATTTGTATAGCCTATCCAGTGCGGCCTAGAGAAGGCAGAGCAGGCAGGAGGAGCGTGGCCTTGCTGTCAGTCACTTTGAATCAGTCATTTATGTAGAGTGGAGCGGAACAAACCAAGACGAGCTCCATCCGACCAGGTGATGAGTCACTGCTTCAAGTCAGGGATATGTCTTTTATTTGAAGGTCTGGGTCTCCCTCCTGACTACTTGCTTTCCTTCCACCAGTCTCTCGTCGGTCAAATCAGGGAAAGCCTTTCAATTGATTAATTTCTTGTTTCAGTCTCAACTACCTAGTAGTCATCCAAATCAAATAACTCATCGTCTTCTCCTTGGTACTCTATGGCCTGGAAATCCACCCTGTACCGCAAGATCCCTGTGGAGGTGAAGTAAAGGAATAATCATAGTCTTAGGTACTCTGCAGAGGTGCATTACACTGACAATATTTTTTTATTTATTCACATGAACCCAGAATAGTAAAAGCATTTAGTTATGAATGTTTAATCAAACCCTTACCACCAATTCCACCAAAGCCTTTGACAAACTGTGATCCTTCTTGGCTCTTGTCAGTGACAATCTCCAGACAGGCACCAAACTTCTTATAGCTGTTGGCGAACCATTCAAGTAATGGCATGCTCTCGATCAGCTCATGTTCCTGCCCAGTCTGTAGAAATACACCCACACCCAAAAAGTGGATCAGGAAAAATTGGGAGAGATCCATTTATGAGAATTCACCATATAAAAGTGCTGGATGTGAACACAGGAAGTAGACATAAGTGAAATTTGAGAGAAAATTGTCACATTTTAAAAGATCCTCTAGAACATCTGGGACCACAACAGAACTTCCTTCATACGTTTGTGTTGGTTATGGAAAGAGAACTCCTCACTGACCTCTTTGTCCGTGAAGTGAGACTTGTCTTTCTCCTGCTCTGGTGTCAAATACAACGTTTTCTCATCTGGATCAGTGGAAGAAGAGGTTGAACAGAACAGACAGGGGCAAGAAATAGAGAGATGTGTTAAGACAAGAATACCTCAACTGGATGTATTTTGTATAGGGCGCACATATTATTTACATACCTGTACCCTTCTCCACCATAGCAAGTCCCTCTGCTCCGTGGCATCGTAGGATGTATCTCATGGTATCCAGGTTCTCGTAGACAATCAGGATCTCAACAGCACCCATTTCCAGGGCTTTCAGTGTGTCTTCCACCCCAAAGCAGTACTTCCCCGTATCCTGGCTGATCTCATCAAAGTACCGTCCTGGGAGAAAAGGTCCTCTATATTATCAATATGACAATAGGATGGATCATGTCCATGCCAGAGAGACACTCAAGCACTGATGACCGATATCGGAGTAGACATTCACACAAATTAACAAGAGATCTGCTGTATCCAAGTACCTATTAGTTTCTTCTCCTGGATGAATTTGACATTGGAAAGTACTTCTGCGGACAGCTCAATGGCCTGGTTGAACCCATTCTCCCCACCATATGATATGTCAACCAGCTTCAGGATCTTTGCTTGTAGCCTCTGCATGGACACGAGTCAGCAATTCATCAGTCAACAAACAGATCACATATCGGCCGTTTAATACTACAATGGCAATGCTGACAATGGCACCAGAAAGACCTGGAATGGTGGGTCTGGAGATACTGACCGGGTCAAACATGTCTGACTGGCTGAGCTCCGTCTTGAAGTCAGCTGAACCAGCCAAGACCATGCCTGCTACGTTGACCTTGTCGTTGGAAACAAAAAGCGTGACCGCCGTCTCCGCCACCTTTCGCACGTAGTTGTGTCTCTTCTCCATCCTCAAACGAGCAAAACGCAAGGCAGACTGCCCTCCTCTGCCTGAAAGAGGACTGTTTGTTATACATGGTTGTGTGTTGACAGGCTGGCTGTAATTCTGTTCATAAGTATACGTTGTATGTGAATGTAGGGTTTTTACCGTGCTTCTTGGGTAGGTCCACTGTGAACTTGTGCAGCACCTCCCTGGTGTTGCCCTGCAGGGTTCCGAAGAGGGCGCCACTCCCATCAATCACAATGAAACCAAATTTGCTGTCATCTGAGAGCAAGGCTGTAAGAGCCTGAGAGAGACAAAATACATTAAGTAAGATGAAAAATTACATCGAATTAGGTGGTCAATATTAACCATCGGCTGTGCATAACTTCAGGCTACAAAAACAACGCCAACTTGTTTCACCAAAACAGGCAACACTGATTTTTTATATCATGAGATACCATTTTGTTCCAATAGTGCAATCCAAAGGCAAAACTCCATTCCCAGTTAGTCATAATGTGATATAAGCAAATACAGTTGAAGTCGGAAGTTTACATACACTTCATTCATACAGTCATTAAAACTTGTTTTTCAACCACTCCACACATTTCTTGTTAACAAACTATAGTTTTGGCAAGTCGGTTAGGACATCTACTTTGTGCATGACACAAGTAATTTTTCCAACAATTGTTTACAGACAGATTATTTCACTTATAATTCACTGTATCACAATTCCAGTGGGTCAGAAGTTTACATACACTAAGTTGACTGTGCCTTTAAACAGCTTGGAAAATTCCAGAAAATGATGTCATGGCTTTAGAAGCTTCTGATAGGCTAATTGACATCATTTGAGTCAATTGGAGGTGTACCTGTGGATGTATTTCAAGGCCTACCTTCAAACCCAGTACCTCTTTGCTTGACATCATGGGAAAATCAAAAGAAATCAGCCAAGACCTCAGAAAAAAAATGGTAGACCTCCACAAGTCTGGTTCATCCTTGGGAGCAATTTCCAAACGCCTGAAGGTACCACGTTCATCTGTACAAACAATACTACGCAAGTATAAACACCATGGGACCACGCAGCCGTCATACCGGTCAGGAAGGAGACGCATTCTGTCACCTAGAGATGAACGTACTTTGGTGCGAAAAGTGCAAATCAATCCCAGAACAACAGCGAAGGACCTTGTGAAGATGCTGGAGGAAACAGGTACAAAAGTATCTATATCCACAGTAAAACGAGTCCTATATCGACATAACCTGAAAGGCCGCTCAGCAAGGAAGAAGCCATTGCTCCAAAACCGCCATAAAAAAGCCTGACTACGGTTTGCAACTGCACATGGGGACAAAGAGAAGTACTTTTTGGAGAAATGTCCTCTGGTCTGATGAAACAAAAATAGAACTGTTTGGCCATAATGACCATCGTTATATTTGGAGGAAAAAGGGGAACGCCTGCAAGCCGAAGAACACCATCCCAACCATGAAGCACGGGGTGACAGCATCATGCTGTGGGGGTGCTTTGCTGCAGGAGGGACTGGTGCACTTCACAAAACAGATGGCATCATGAGGAAGGAAAATTATGTGGATATATTGAAGCAACATCTCAAGACATCAGTCAGGAAGTTAAAGCTCGGTCACAAATGGGTCTTCCAAATGGACAATGACCCCAAGCATAGTTCCAAAGTTGTGGCAAAATGGCATAAGGACAACAAAGTCAAGGTATTGGAGTGGCCATCACAAAGCCCTGACTTCAATCCTATAGAAAATTTGTGGGCAGAACTGAAAAAGCGTGTGCGAGCAAGGAGGCCTACAAACCTGACTCAGTTACACCAGCTCTGTCTGGAGGAATGGGCCAAAATTCACCCAACTTATTGTGGGAAGCTTGTGGAAGGCTACCCGAAACATTTGACCCAAGTTAAACAATTGAAAGGCAATGCTACCAAATACTAATTGAGTGTATGTGAACTTCTGACCCACTGAGAATGTGATGAAAGAAATAAAAGCTGAAATAAATCACTCTACTATTATTCTGACATTTCAGATTCTTAAAATAAAGTGGTGATCCTAACTGACCTAAGCATTTTTACTAGGATTAAATGTCAGGAATTGTGAAACACTGAGTTTAAATGTATTTGGCTAAGGTGTATGTAAACTTCCGACTTCAACTGTAGGTCCATAGGAAAGATATAGCGAGGTGAGAAAACAATGGACCGAGGAGTGTTGAACAACCTTACCTCTGTGTGGAACTTGTTGTCACAGAGATACAGCGAAGTGTTGATGGGTTTAAAAGGCTCAAAGTCGATATTGACTTTTTTCTCTTTGCCCTCGTCAGTCACAATGGTGCCACAGTATACAACCAAGCCGTTGGGAGGCACTGCAGGGTCAAAAATAAGTTTGCTCTCATAGATCAATTGACTGAAATAAGAAATGCCCGTAACCCAGCTTGGACCACCCCAAATTACTTAATACAGGAGAGAGATAGGGTTTAACTACTGACTTCACACACACCTTTATTGTAGAGTTTGAGTCTCTGCTGTACAGAGGTGATGGCTCCGAGCACAGAGAGCCTGTTGACTCTGCTTTTAATGTTGGATGCAGTGCCAAACTCATCAGCCAACATCTTGGCCACTCTGGAGATCTGGTCCTTAGGAGGGATGATCAAGGAGATCATACTCGTACCATTCCTGAGAGGAGTTCAATTGCATTAAACCCACGTTAAAACACAAGGCATATTCTAACACGTCCTTTGAGTAGAAAGTAAGTTGCACAGTAACTCAGGTGAAATTATGTCTGCAAGCTATTTATTGAAACACACATTTTAACAACTTTGTAAAAACAGAAACCACAGGTTATGGATTACTAAACCTGCCCTACAGATGTGTCCTGTTTACCCAAGCAAGCCAGGCCTTTTCATACAAGTATAGCATTAAACCTGACTGCTCTAAGGCAAGCTCTTATGACAGGTTGTCAGATGAGGACATTACTACAGTAGTAGTCTCATATTTCCACATTTTTGTTTAGACAACCATGTTGACAGGTGTGGGCCACAAGCTTGCTTCTGCCCCTAGTCAAGGGGGTGAAGGTCACAGTAGTTTTACTGTTTCACTCAGAGTGAAAAGCATAGTTATTGCTTGATCTTTTGACCTAAAATTAACTATATCAGCTACTCCGGCTGACAGGTCTATTGCCAGCCAGTCAACGCCTATTTAAGTGATGTGGCACTGACAGTTTTGACTTGGTCAGTGAAAACTGCCATGAAATTACACTTTAAAAAAGAAAACTTTAGTCCAGTCACTCAATTTGAATGTAAAGACTAGCTAAATATGGTTGGGTATCAGCTATGTGTTTGCTATACCAAAACAATGTGTAGATTCAGATTGTCAGACAGCCTACTAGTATTATCAGCTAGCTAGCTGTGAATTTCAGATACTATTATTGTCATCTATCTAGCTGTAAATGTAAAGAAGTCATTGAAGTTACAAAACTAATAGCAAGCTAGTTAACGTTAGCTGTGGTAACATTAGCTAGCTACATGACTACTCAAACGTTCGAAACGTAGATCAATGCCAATGACATGTGACCTAGCTTGTCAGCTAGCCAACTAGCTAGCTAACTATGCGTTCAAATAAATACTCAAACTAACTGCTAGTTAGTAAGCTAGCTAAAACTTCCACTAAAAGAATTGCTAGCTAGCTGGGCCTGGTACCGTTAGCTTCAAGTTAGTGGTTCAATATGATGAAGAAAGTCACTGACAACACCATGCATTTGTCATTTCTTCCACTTGTCATGTCCACACGTACCCACGAGCAGCTTCTAGACTTTTGATCAACTTCTTTATCTTCCATATCTCCACGTTCCTGTCTGCTGCGTTGGGGTCGTCCGCCATTTTTTCCGCGGTGTCTATTTAGGACCTAGTGTGAGGGTATGTAGTGTAACGTTAGTAGCAGCATCAAAATATGGACTGCGATATCAACTTAACAACACGGACGGTTTGTTGTAAGCCTCAATAAATATATAGCAACATAAAAGGGATTTAACTATTTCCCCAACACACCAGCAAGGACAATAATATTGGCCCAGACGGTCTTGTCAGAAACCGGGTGCTAGTAGCTACTGGTCTCTGTTGGGAAATGCCCTGGCTTTTAAATCCTGCCCAGGCCCTAGAGTCCACCCGACTAACTCAAGTATTGCTGAATAATGTCAACATTATTAGAGACATCATTATGCATATGGACCAAACACCAATTCCTAACAATGATCGCTCAAAAACATGCAATTTTACTTGCCCCAAGTGCCGTTATGTCTGCACTTTATCTCTCAAATTACACCTATTTAATTTGTCGTTTGCTCTGACGTTGTTGAGCTCGAGCTCTACTCAAGCCGGTTTGTTGCTACGCATGGTGGTGCGATGGGGCTTCATTGTGTTGGTGTCGTCACTAGTTACCACAGCCACAAAGTCATCATTATGGCTAAACCATAGGTCGAAAATAGAGTATATTGTCATCTTCAACCTTGGCTAAACCCCGCCCATTTCGAAAATTGATCATCTTAAAATCTTATTTTAAACCTAACCTTAACCCTGACCACACTGCTAACCGTATGCTTAATCTTGAATTAAGACCAAAAAGCGAGGTTTTGTTTTAATGAATTTTTACGACATAGCTGTGGCTTTGGTAACTAGTGACAATATTGTTTTGGAGAATAGTTAGGGTTCATTCTGAGATTTTTCATTGGCCTAAAGAGTGGGTGAAGCTGAGAAAATGTACCTGTAATTAGAGAGGAAAGCCTATTCCCCCTCAGGAGACTGAAAAGATTTGGCATGGGTCCTCAGATCCTTAAAAAGTTATACAGTTGCACCATCGAGAGCATCCTGACTGGTTGCATCACTGCCTGGTACGGCAACTGCTTGGCCTCCGACTACAAAGCACTACAGAGGGTAGTGTGTACGGCCTAGTACATCACTTGGGCCAAGCTTCCTGCCATCCAGGACCTCTATATCAGGCGGTGTCAGAGGAATCCAGCCACCCTAGTCATAGACTGTTCTCTCTTCAAACCCAAGGCAAGCAGTACCGGAGCGCCAAGTCTAGGTCCAAAAGGCTTCTTAACAGTTTCTACCCCCAAGCCATAAGACTCATGAACAGCTAATCAAATGGCTACCTGGACTATTTGCATTGGAATCTAGCTCCGACTACAGATTCGCCCAAAGTCAATACTTAAAAAAATGTAAATCATGAAACGCCTACATTGTACCTATGCTTGTCCTCTGTAGTTGCGTGCCTTTCTTTGTTTGACGAAATCCATACTTTTTCAATAAACGTTAATCAAATACAACCACAGACTTTTTACCAGTGTAAAAATGCTTTAAAGTACTACTTAAGTAGTTTTTTTGGGTATCTGTACATGACTTTACTATTTGTATTTTTGACAACTTTTACTTCACTACATTCCTATAGAAAAGAATGTACTTTTTACTCCATACATTTTCCCTGACACCCAAACGTACTTGTTACATTTTGAAAGCTTAGCAGGACAGAAAATTGTCCAATTCACGCACTTATCAAGAGAACATCCCCGGTCATCCCTACTGCCTCTGATCTGGCGGACTCACTAAACACAAATGCTTCTTTTGTAAATGATGTCTGAGTGTTGGAGTGTGCCCCTGGTTATCCGTAAATAAAAATAAAAAACAATACAATTGTGCCTACTGGTTTGGGTACTTTTTATCCCATTGCTTTTTACTCGTTTCTCTTTCTCTAAGATGGCAACTCAGCGCAAATGTGCACGTGTCAATTGAATCTCCGATGACATTCTTTGTAGAGATACTGAGAAATAACGAGAGAGAAATCATAGAAATATAATTTTTATTTAATTTAAAAAAAATACATATTACAATCATTTTATAGCCTGGCGAATAACTTTATTGACTTGACGCATATTCTGTCCAGAGATACTGTGAAATAACAAGGAGAGTGTGCAAATCTGTCATCAAGGCAAATGGTGGCTACTTCGAAGAATCTCGAATATATTTTGATTTGTTTAACACTTTTTTTGGTACTACATGATTCCATATGTGTTATTTCATAGTGTTGATGTCTTCACTATTATTATATAATGTAGAAAATAGTAAAAATAAAGAAAAACCCTGGAATGAGTAGGTTTGTCCAAACTTTTGACTGGTGCTGTAGGTATACCCGCACCGGGTCGGCTAGAGCCTGGTGCAAATACCAGAGTGGGCACACTCGCTATATAACGCAAAACAATTTTTGTGAGAAACCATCAGTAGAGTTCAAAATGCGATGCAAACCCATTTAACTTGTATTTTTAGTTTTCGGTACATGGGAATTTAACAGCAAAAGGTATTTTTATGTGCACAATGTCATCACGCACAGCTTTTTATGGAATTTAATGGAAACACATCTCTGGTGGGAAAATGTGCATATTGTTTTTATGCATATTTTACAATATTCATATGAAAATCTGTCACCAATTGGATGTAAACATAGCTACTGCGAGTAATAGTAATGGAGTCTTTTTTTAGGCACTAACTCTGCCATGGTTAGTTGGACAAAGCCTATTTGGGAAATGAATGGAGTTTTAGTATGGTTGTTTGATAAACGCCAAAAATAAGGTATGTGGTAAACACCGGTTTAGGAGATTTTACATGTTTTGTTCTATGAGATTATCTTCATCAGCTAACTTCACTTTTTGTGAATTTTGAAGCATTTATGTAATTTAAAAAAAGCAGTCTTCACAATTCATGTTAACTGAACTGACTGATATTATCTCATAGAACAAAATGTATCAGATCTCCTAAGCCTGTGTTAACCTCAGACCTTATTTTTGGCATTTACCCCAAAACCCTATTCTTTCCCCATTATTTTCCCCCAAAGAAATGGCTGAACGAACCAGAGGTCACTTATTTCAGGTTTTTAGGACTACAAGCTGGCGAGCTCGATCTACATGTTGATCCTCACTTGTGTTTTGTCTTAGATCAATGTATTGTTGAAAACCAGGTTTACTAGATCTGGAGAATGGCAAGTTGAATACAGTAGTATTGCTTCTTTAATAAAGTTATGTTCAGGATGACATTTCTCTTGGGAGATTGTAGATAGATAAATGTGTGTATTGTTTGCAATGGTCAGTTTGGGCTGCTGGAAAATATATTACTCATATAACATTTGATAGCTTGCCTTGTTCATTATTCATTTGAATTTCCTCATTCATGTTTATTGATAAAGGACATCATGCCGCTTGCTTTATAGCGAGTATCACTTTCTCCTGATTCGACTCACACGAGGCTCGAACCTAGGACCTCTGCATTGCTAGCACATGTAGCTGCCCTCCTGAAGCCTCTTACCAGTTGGAGTAAAGCTAAAAAGCTAGCTATTCGGTGGCGCAAGTGGGGACACTTCAGGCTGAGGAGTAAGTTTCACACATCCCCATGTGCCACATTCCACCCCTCAAACTTACTCAACAGCGAGCCCCAATTTTGAGCTGAGCGGAACTGTAGATCCGGGTCACGGTACTACTGTAAAGGACGTAACGCTGCCTGCTTAGTGAGTACCCCTACCTCCTGATTCAGCTCACACAGAGGCTCGAACCCAGGACCTCTGCCTTGCTAGCACACATTACCAGCCTCCTGAAGCGTCTTACCAGTCGGCGCCACACGAAAAAACTAGCTATTCGGTTGCCAAGTGGGGACATTTCAGGCTGTGGAGTACATTTTACACATCCTCATGCGCTACAGTAGCGTCAATAATAAAGGCAGGCCTACTGAATAAGCATTATTATTATTCTTTTATTTCAAAAAATTCTAAATATTTCAATACAAACATTCTATTTTATTTTTTTACAAATGTTAAATACTCATCTACACACATTCATCAGCATTCCACCTAGGTTATCCTACTATTTTACAGGCAGAATGACTAATGTGAATATATATTTTTTTTATCTATAGAGGAACACAACTTCAGGTAGCCTACCCTACACCTTAAAGTGGAGTGCAATCCCAGAATCTAACAACACACTATGAATCTAAGTTTGAAGGTTTTATACAAAGTTCTTATACAGAGGACACCGCTCAATTCCCATCAGGGTTTCTAGGCATTCTTGCTAAGCTTGTCACCAAGCTGTTGGATCAAGTCAGCTAGTTCCTCTGTGGCCTGAGACTTCTCCTCCAGGAGCTCATAGCGCAGGCTCGAGATGTCCTGCTTGATCTCCTTCAGCTCACCTGCAAGGGATGCACCACAGGTTATTGATCACTCGATCCACTAAAACTCCATGTCACAGCCTTGCAGTTGTAAGAATGATCAGTCTTCCGTTGAGAGGGCACAACAGCTTTATGATCTTACATAATGGATATGAATCATGCTCACCTTCGTTGATTTCGTCATTTTCACTGTCAACCTGAGCCTTTAGCACATATCGCTTAATGAGCCTCTTCATAAGTTTCTTTCAAGAAAAGAGAGGGAATCGGAACTTTAGAGACAACAGTTCAGAATGTAGCACGTCTGAATATGTCTGATCTTGCTAATTAATCAAATTGACTGGTATGGAGTAAGTACCTGGTATCGAGTAGGATGTTTGATGGGTTTTCTAATGGTGAAGTCATCCTGACCTGGTGTCCTGGTTTGAGGTCTGTTCTGATTAAGCTGAAACGGAACAGAAACCACACACCCATTAAAACATATTAATTAAAGAGGCAGATATACAACCGGCTACAGCCTCTCCCTAAAAGCCAACATCTGACCTTGAATCGCAAATTGATCATGGCCGTCTCACGCTTGTTGTCATGGTGATGGGCTTTGGCCTTGCACAGCCTCACCAGACAAGCCCTTGTGCGCAGGGCTAGGTAGTAGAAGGACTTGGGACTGGGAACCAGGTTAAATGGTGGGGGCAGAGTACGCCCCTCGTCAAAGTAGGAGAGCCAGAGTTTGGCACGGGCGAACTTCCACTCCACATCAGCATCCTCCTGTTGAGATTGAGACAGACCATGGTATAACTGGAGAGTAGTGAAAGGTGAGGGGCAATGACTCAGTTTGGAGCACATTCATACAATGAATCTAATATGGTCTGATTATTTTATCATAACTGCTCACAACAGTGTTCTCCCAAAATGGTACATGAATACAACAAACATAACAGTAATAACTCACCCATACTGTAAATTGACATAATTCCCCTCTGACCTCAAAGCATTGATTATCGACTATTTATCTCCTGTGAATTCACTAGTGGTGTTTAGGCCTATTGGTTCCTAGTCTCACCTCAATCTCCTGATAGGAGTGATTGATCATTGCAATCAGCATGTTGAGCAGTACGATTACCATGGTTACATTGTAGACGCCAAAGAGAACATAACCAATGTTCTCTATGAACTTATGGTCATATTTCAAGACCACAGAGATAACCTCAGACAAGCCGAAGATGGACCAAAATAGAGTCTTAAAGCTCTCCTCCACCCTGTGAACACACATAATCAAACAAAACACACAGGCACGTGCAAACGCGCATACACAGACATTAATAAATAACACACAAACTAATAAATAGACATATCTACTTAAAGCATGTCATTTACAGGAACAGGCAGGAGGGCACTTACGTGGTGAAGGCGGGGTTGTACTTGGCACCAAGGTAATAGGAATATAGATTGAACATGCCAATCATGAAAGCCAGGAAGACCATTATGAAGATGACCATGAACTTGAAGATGTCCTTGACCGTCCGGCCGAGGGAGATTTGAAGTGGGCCGAAGCTCTCATTGGCAGGCAAGATGTAGGCAATGCGGGAGAAACTGAGCACCACTGCAATTGAGTACAAACCCTCGGAGATCAGCTGAGGGTCAGAGGGTAACCACCTGTTCCTGGCTGAGAGAGAGAGGGGTTGCTTTTAAATGTCACTTTGTGACCTTGGGACTGACTATAAGGTTCTATGACATTTTGGTAAAAAATGTGTTATTCACATGGAGTTGCTCATTAGGTGGTCCTTTACATGTGAGATACTGTACAGTATGTCCGATATTCTTTTTTAGAAATATCAGAAAGTTCTATCTGTGCAAACACCTTTTATCTTGGTGCTATATAAGGTTCTACCTGCAATCTGATCACACAATACTCGTTGTCAATAAAAAATAATTGTATGTAAGGTGATATGCTTATTTAGTCATGAAAGAGGAAGACATCACAAAACAGTTCTGAGATCTGGGACTTGAAAAATACTAATTTCAAAACTATACATTTTGAAGATAGAATCTTATAGTACCAAGTCCATGATTTCTCATATCATAGGTCCTCTTTTTACATAACTTTTTTTTTTATCACCGCTTTTTCAGAAGAATGACCATAATGTAACTCTTTATGGTAAAAACAAATACATACCGGTGCCTTAGAGCATATTTAAGGCCCTTAGGAGAGGCTTTGCTGTTTTTTTCTTGTTCTATATCAATACGAAAACCTCCATGGAAGGGGTATTTCACAAAAACTACAAACTTACCAATTTTTATTGATAACTAGCAAGTAGTTTACTGACTTTGGGTGTCAGAGACCAGAAAAATATATCAGTTTACTCATCCAGAGCTAAGCTTTAGCAATGTTGCTAGTTATCCATAGGATATAATGTATTTGTCATTTTAAGGAACTATCGTTTTAACAAATGTGTGATGAACATGAATTCATGTTTGATGATGTGATTAGAAAGAAGGAATGGTTTTCTCTTTATTTAATCTTTAAATGTCTATACTTTTCTATTGACATTGAAATAATTGTAACATTCTGTGCCTGATAGAACCTTGGCTGAACCCAGATTTACATTTCAGAGTCACAAGCTACTATCTGTGATTGCACCCCATATAAAAACAGACTTACAAATGTCTTAGGATTTTGACATTCTGTAATTTAGGTACCTTTAAGGTGAGGACATTAATTGGTTATGAAAGAAGAATTCACTACAAAACAGTTCTGAGATCTGCGATGTGAAAACTTGAAGGCTCAATATCTCAGAACTATGCTTTGCGCAGATAGAACCTTATAGTCCCAAGGTCTCAACCTGTTACAGATTTAATACAGTAAGGTTACTGTAATGCTACATGCACAGCCTGTTAGGCTGTAGCCAGAGATTAACCATTGTCATTATTATCATTTTGAATTATAAAGTGTCACTGACCATGGGTGTAGTATGCTACATTTGGTGGCAGTGAGGCGTTGCTCAGGTCTATGTTGGGCATGTTGGGCACATACATGTCCACATACAGCTGGGCCTCAGAGGCTCTCAGGAAGGCCATGAGCCGAGCCGTGAAGGATGCCACGAAGATGGACAGCATGCCAAAGTCTAGCACGTTCCACAGGTGCATGATGTACTCCCTAGGCCCATCAGCCCAGATCTCCTTACACTCCGACCAGATCATCCCTAATAAATAGAGTGCTTTTCAGTAAGTGCAAAAGCCCTCTGTTTTGAACATACGAGTGTTATGATTTTAATACTTTAAGATTTTATTCAGATTATACCATGGTGAAGAAACAGGAACAAAGAGATATGAATAGACTGGATAATAAAGTGTCTCCCACAAAACCCCACAAAAGCAGCTGTTTGAAAACCAGAGTAAATTACCAAGCACCCAATTCATGATGAGCATCTCAGTCCAGGAGAACTGACTGGTTTTGACCCTGAACACCTGAAGAGGGTGGTCGGTTATTGTCTCATTGGGAAGGTTCTTGACCCCTTCGAAGCGGTCCGATGCATTGATTACCAGTAGTCCAAGAAAGATGGTGAATGACACAGCATGGGCCACAAACTTCATGAAGGGACTGCGGAGAATCTGACCCAACTGATATAGAGGAAATCAACCACATAAATGGCAACCATCAACCTCATGATATAAACATATAACTATTTTAATCATACAAATGTGTTAATGAGTGATTCTATGAACAAAATAGAAATGGGATTGTGTGTACCTTACTGCAGGGCATGATCCAGTATGCGATGGCGAGGAAAGGAAGGCCGACTGCTACTCCCAGGACTGTCCAGCATTTGACCCCAACAGACTGCTGCCTAAGTCCAGCTAGGTTCTCATACCACAGGGTCAGGAGCTGCTGCTGGCAGTTAGGATGGGCCACAAACTACAGAGACATGATGAAAAATAACTATGACATACTACAAGATTGATAACCAGACGCAAAGGGTGACTGCTTTGTCATACCTATTATATAGTGTTGTAGAATCCATTGGTGGGTGTGAAACAGCTGTAAAACACATATTTCATTTATATCCTGTTCCAGTTTCCCTCTTAAATAAACCCTTTATAGGGGACGTGACGATTGGGAGAATGTAATCACAAGTGTCTTTCTCATGGTGCTCTTGAGATTGATTGCTATTCAAATTAAGACTACTGAATCATGTTAGACACAAATACCAGAGGGAGATAACATTTAAAATGACTTTTAGAAAAAATAGCATGTTTGATTTCAGATTAAGGTTGAGTGGTTCAGCTAACCTTCTTGACCTCGTACTTTATGGCCAGTTTGACCCGGATGAGGCAGGGTCGACTGTGATCACTGGGTAGAGCTTGGTCCACATCCCCATTCAAAATGGCCTCCACCTCCTCCGTGTCTCTGCATAAGTCAAGCACTCCCACCACAAAGTCCTTACACTGCATGGACAGCTTCCTGTAGTCATTCTACCGGAGAGAGAGAGAGAGAGAGAGAGAGAGAGAGAGAGAGAGAGAGAGAGAGAGAGAGATGAGATAGAGAGAGAAGAGAGATATATATAGAGGAGAGAGAGATAGATAGTAGTAGTAGAGCGAGATGCTAGCGATAAGTCTCTCGAGTTCAGCTATCTCTCCGCTATCGCTCTCTATCGCTTCTCGCTGCTCCTATATCGCTCCTCTCTCTCTCTCGCTCGCTTCTCTCTCGCTCTCATCTCTCTCGCTCTTCTCTCCGCTCTCTCTCTCTCCTCTCTCTCTCTCTTCTCGAGTCTAATAGATGGAGAGGGAAAGAGATGTGTGAGAATTATTTAAAATGAGGCATATCCCAGGGGTCACACCTTTTGGTGAATTGTTAATGTCAGTCTCTCACTTTTTGGTCTGCATGTAAAATATTCCAATAGAAACCTGGAAAACCACAGACCAACCGTTTCTGCACTGACAAATCCTGTGTATATTTTCTTATCTCATTAAGGCAGGGTGTATTGGTGTGAGTTTGCATGCCAATGTTTGTGTTTGTCACACATTACGGTTCTTTATAATGAGCATAAACTGTGTGTGTGTGTTTGTGTGTGTGTGCACGCATTTGTACCTGTCTTTCTGTGGGTGTTCTTCAGACAGAGGAAAAACAGTATGTGTGCTTGTGAGTGTGTGTGTGAGTGTGTGTGTGTGTGTGTGTGTGTGTGTGTGTCTGTGTTTATACCCATCTATGTTAAACCTCAACCCAAACTATTTGGAGAGTTCAGTAATCAGTATAAAATAACAGAAAGGAGTCAGACTGGATATGAAAATCCTTGATTAGACTTGTTCTCCTCTTACTGATTGTCAGAATTTAATTCCTCTTGGAGTAGAGGTGGCTTATCTGCATGGGAGAGCAAATTGAATGGAAATACCAGAGCAAAGTTACTTTGCATTGCAAAAAAACATGGCCACAAACACTACATAAATATGCTTTATATGCTGTAAGTATGTTGTCGTGTATAATATGTTGCAAAGCCTGACATACAGTACACTCAGAAATTGCGATAATTTCTAACCGATCAATGACCGATTTGAGATTGTTCCCAATCTTCATTTTCTCACAGCGGGTTCCAATAATATTAGAGTGTGTCATTTGGTGAAGTGTACTGTACAGGGACTACCTGATTTAATCTCTTCCCAATTCATCATTTCTGTGAGTAATCAAAAGACACAAATCAGCTCTAGGGCTTTCAGAAAAATATCTACACAAAGCTTTTACATATTGCTAAATGAGTAAGAGGGGGGAGAGCATGTGTAAGAGAAAGTAAGCCAATACTATACATAGGTGAAAATAAATATCCCTTAGCAGTAAACCCCTTCCTTCAATCCTCAAGATTGGTATTTCTGTGTGTTTCTCACCTTGAACTCAGTCTCGATGTTGGCGAGGCGAGCCAGCTCGTTGCTGAGCTCCAGAGCGGTGAATACAGGATCCTCACTAGACAGGGACAGGTAGGCGGCGCTGGCTAACCCTTTATAGGCATTCATCCTGGAGCGGGAGTGGCTGAACGAGTCACGGCACTGCTTGTCATGACACTCATTACATTTACAAAAGTAATCATGGGGCTTCTCGATGCGTGCTCCCTTCATCAACAGAGTGTGCACTATCTCATACTCCTGGCAGTGTGCAGCCAGAATGACCGGGGTCACGTCATGGGAAAAACGTGTACCGTCTTCATCGTAGGCATAAAAGTCATCATCTCTTAGCTCCTGCTCCAGGGGGCTTAGGGTTAGGCGCAGCCCACCACCGAATGCAGGGTGGGCCAGGATAGCCTCTACGATACGCACATATCCCTTACTGATGGCAAAGAGGAGGCCATCGCCCACACGCGCCAGCCCCTCCTTCTTCAGCAGCAGCTCTGTCACCTCCAAGTGCTCATTACCCACGGCCAACTGCAGTGCATTCTGACCCATGTAGTCCACACAGTTGACGTTGAGGGTCTTGGACTCCTCCAGCATCTTACGCACCACTGGGATGTTCCCGTACTCAGCAGCATCTAGGAAGCGCTCCTCCTCTGAAGTGAGACTGGTGCCCCGCTCACTGAACATGTAGGCAGGCCCACGGATAGCCTGCCGACGGCCCTTCTCTCGCACAGTCGTTTTTCTACGGTGCATGGTCTCAACTCTGGATGGAGAAAGACGGTGACAAAAAACACTATTCAGACTACAAGGAAGTTCACAGGAACTGAAGAGAAGAGTAAGTTGAAGAAAACATAACATTCAGTGCAGATGTTTATTTACACTTTTCAAAATGATAGAGTCGGGAGTGCTTGGATACTTTTTGTTAACTACAATTGCATGATTATGTAATTTCAGCCTGTATAATACACAACATTCTTGGTTTACTGAGGTTTCTTTACTGAGCCATTGGATGACAGGTGTTCGTCTCTATGGAGATAGGTGTGATCTGCATCTGTTGAATTCTGATGGCTTTGATTGACAGCCAGAGGTTTGCTGTGGGCCTACAGCACTAGCTAAGCAAGACATATACTGAAGTCACTGATGGTGACTTCTATCTCAATCCAGTCCTATAGGGTTTGTATGCCCAGTTACAGTTGAAGTCGGAAGTTTACATACACTTAGGTTGGAGTCATTAAAACTTGTTTTTCAACCACTCCACACATTTCTTGTTAACAAACTATAGTTTTGGCAAGTCGGTTAGGACATCTACTATGTGCATGACACAAGTAATTTTTCCAACAATTGTTTACAGACAGATTATTTCACTTATAATTCACTGTATCACAATTCCAGTGGGTCAGAAGTTTACATACACTAAGTTGACGGTGCCTTTAAACAGCTTGGAAAATTCCAGAAAATGATGTCATGGCTTTAGAAGCTTCTGATAGGCTAATTGACATCATTTGAGTCAATTGGAGGTGTACCTGTGGATGTATTTCAAGGCCTACCTTCAAACTCAGTGCCTCTTTGCTTGACATCATGGGAAAATCAAAAGAAAACAGCCAAGACCTCAGAAAAGATTTGTAGACCGCCACAAGTCTGGTTCATCCTTGGGAGCAATTTCTAAACGTCTGAAGGTATCACGTTCATCTGTACAAACAATAGTACGCAAGTATAAACACCATGGGACCACGCAGCCGTCATACCGCTCAGGAAGGAGATGCGTTCTGTCTCCTAGAGATGAACGTACTTTGGTGCGAAAAGTGCAAATCAATCCCAGAACAACAGCAAAGGACCTTCTGAAGATGCTGGAGGAAACAGGTACAAAAGTATCTATATCCACAGTAAAACGAGTCCTATATCGACATAACCTGAAAGGTCGCTCAGCAAGGAAGAAGCCACTGCTCCAAAACCGCCATAAAAAAGCCAGACTACGGTTTGCAACTGCACATGGGGACAAAGATCGTACTTTTTTGAGAAATGTCCTCTGGTCTGATGAAACAAAAATAGAACTGTTTGGCCATAATGACCATTGTTATGTTTGGAGGAAAAAGGGGGTGCTTGCAAGCTGAAGAACACCATCCCAACCGTGAAGCACGGGGGTGGCAGCATCATGCTGTGGGGGTGCTTTGCTGCAGGATAGACTGGTGCACTTCACAAAATAGATGGCATCATGAGGAAGGAAAATTATGTGGATATATTGAAGCAACATCTCAAGACATCAGTCAGGAAGTTAAAGCTTGGTCGCAAACGGGTCGTCCAAATGGACAATGACCCCAAGCATACTTCCAAAGTTGTGGCAAAAGGGCTTAAGGACAACAAAGTCAAGGTATTGGAGTGGCCATCACAAAGCCCTGACCTCAATCCTATAGAACATTTGTGGCAGAACTGAAAAAGTGTGTGCGAGTAAGGAGGCCTACAAACCTGATTCAGTTACACCAGCTATGTCAGGAGGAATGGGCCAAAATTCACCCAATTTATTGTGGGAAGCTTGTGGAAGGCTACCCAAAACGTTTGACCCAAGTTAAACAATTTAAAGGCAATGCTACCAAATACTAATTGAGTGTATGTAAACTTCTGACCCACTGGGAATGTGATAAAATAAAGAAAAGCTGAAATAAATAATTCTGTCTACTATTATTCTGACATTTCACATTCTTAAAATAAAGTGGTGATCCTAACTGACCTAAGACAGGGCATTTTTACTAGGATTAAATGTCAGGAATTGAGAAAAACTGAGTTTAAATGTATTTGGCTAAGGTGGACAGCGGGGGAAAAAAGTATTTAGTCAGCCACCAATTGTGCAAGTTCTCCCACTTCACAAGATGAGAGAGGCCTGTAATTTTCATCATAGGTACACGTCAACTATGACAGACAAATTGAGAAAGAAAATTCAGAAAATCACATTGTAGGATTTTTTATGAATTTATTTGCAAATTATGGTGGAAAATAAGTATTTGGTCACCTACAAACAAGCAAGATTTCTGGCTCTCACAGACCTGTAACTTCTTCTTTAAGAGGCTCCTCTGTCCTCCACTCCTTACCTGTATTAATGGCACCTGTTTGAACTTGTTATCAGTATAAAAGACACCTGTCCACAACCTCAAACAGTCACACTCCAAACTCCACTATGGCCAAGACCAAAGAGCTCTCAAAGGACACCAGAAACAAAATTGTAGACCTGCACCAGGCTGGGAAGACTGAATCTGCAATAGGTAAGCAGCTTGGTTTGAAGAAATCAACTGTGGGAGCAATTATTAGGAAATGGAAGACATACAAGACCACTGATAATCTCCCTCGATCTGGGGCTCCACGCAAGATCTCACCCCGTGGGGTCAAAATGATCACAAGAACGGTGAGCAAAAATCCCAGAACCACACGGGGGGACCTAGTGAATGACCTGCAGAGAGCTGGGACCAAACTAACAAAGCCTACCATCAGTAACACACTACACCACCAGGGACTCAAATCCTGCAGTACCAGACGTGTCCCCCTGCTTAAGCCAGTACATGTCCAGGCCCGTCTGAAGTTTGCTAGAGTGCATTTGGATGATCCAAAAGAGGATTGGGAGAATGTCATATGGTCAGATGAAACCAAAATATAACTTTTTGGTAAAAACTCAACTCGTCGTGTTTGGAGGACAAAGAATGCTGAGTTGCATCCAAAGAACACCATACCTACTGTGAAGCATGGGGTGGAAACATCATGCTTTGGGGCTGTTTTCTGCAAAGGGACCAGGACGACTGATCTGTGTAAAGGAAAGAATGAATGGGGCCATGTATCGTGAGATTTTGAGTGAAAACCTCCTTCCATCAGCAAGGGCATTGAAGATGAAACATTGCTGGGTCTTTCAGCATGACAATGATCCCAAACACACCGCCCGGGCAACGAAGGAGTTGCTTCGTAAGAAGCATTTCAAGGTCCTGGAGTGGCCTAGCCAGTCTCCAGATCTCAACCCCATAGAAAATCTTTGGAGGGAGTTGAAAGTCTGTGTTGCCCAGCGACAGCCCCAAAACATCACTGCTCTAGATGAGATCTGCATGGAGGAATGGGCCAAAATACCAGCAACAGTGTGTGAAAACCTTGTGAAGACTTACAGAAAACTTTTGACCTGTGTCATTGCCAACAAAGGGTATATAACAAAGTATTGAGAAACTTTTGTTATTGACCAAATACTTATTTTCCACCATAATTTGCAAATAAATTCATTAAAAATCCTACAATGTGATTTTCTGGAAAAAATATTATCATTTTGTCTGTCATAGCTGAAAATTACAGGCCTCTCTCATCTTTTTAAGTGGGAGAACTTGCACAATTGGTGGCTGACTAAATACTTTTTTCCCCCACTGTATGTAAACTTCCGACTTCAACTGTAAATAAATGCAGGTTCAAGATGATCTTTAAGTAGCCTACACGCAGAATGCTGTAGAATCTGTTTCAGTCCAATGACAGCTACTGCAGCTACTTGGTATATGAAGCGGAATGATGGGCCTGGGGAAATGTTACCACTCTAAAATTCATTAATGGGGCTATGGATGCAAGGACTGAGTCCATGAGCTCAACAGGATACAGTAGTTTCACACATTTTGTTATATTATATTTGTTTTCAAATACTCCAAATGGGAGTGTTATAAATACTAGGAATATCATATACCATAAATAGGCCTACCAATAATAGTATCTCATAAATAATGTAGTAAGACAGGTGTAGGAAGACAGTTGTACCAAACTTATGAGGGAAATATCCCAGATTGTGCCTTTTATCAATAATGAGAATATCAAGAAGGCCGGTAGCCTGCCATGTAGCTAAAACAACCAAGACAAATTATTCAAAAAATACATGTACATTTTGCACGTTATAAAAGGCAAGCTTGTTCCTTTGATTTGACCTATATCAAAATGTCGAGCAAAAATCAACGTGACTTCTCCAATGAGCCAACCTGAAGTATAGGGGTAGCTACACTTTGAAACAGCAGTAATATGTAAATGCTTCCATACAGCCGTTACACAGTAGGTAGTGTAAAGCATAGCACAGAGAATTTACATACTTCCTCAATTCCCGACTTGGAAGACAACACATCTTCTAAACTTCAATGTCTAGTTGCAGGGGGTTCATTTGAATTTAGAAAATGCTCTGTTATTAAATATATGTTTGGCTCCATGAACATTTACATTTTAGTCATTTAGCAGACGCTCTTATCCAGAGCGACTTACAGGAGCAATTAGGGTTAAGTGCCTTGCTCAAGGGCACATCGACAGATTTCACCTAGTCGGCTCGGGGGATTAGAACCAGCGACCTTTCGGTTACTGGCACAACGCTCTTAACCACTAAGCTACCTGATGAAGTAATACAACAATGTGTACGCCACCATTTTGTCTATTTCAAATCTTCTCATTGATCGAGACAAGTGAGTGTCATCATGACATTTGGCACTTTGGGGTGGACACCCACCTTTCTCAATTAATGAGAGAAGATTTGAAATAGACAAGATGGCAGTTCTATGCCCGTAAATGCCCTTGTATGGAGCATGCCCTTGTACATTTCAAACTCTCCAAAAAAGTGTTTAAAATTTAAAAAACTGGCAATAATGAATAATGTAGTTTCTTGCAATAGCCCTGTCTGACTTTAAAAATATTTCTCAATACACTTTTTAAGGTGTCTGACGGAGTTTACATAAATCCAGTTAAGATAGCTGATACTTTGGTCTATGAAAATATATATTTTAAATGTTGTTAATATTGAGAAAAATATTTGTATATAAAAAAGTTGAGATTGTCCCATCTTTCAAGAATCCCTGACTCAGGGTAAATTGTGCCAAGAGACTACTTTTTTTGGACAAGCTATGTTTTCAAAACTGTTATGTTTACATGAATTATGATTATTTCCAGGGATACACAACATCCTGTAATATATGTAGATATCTTTGTTAGAAAGAATAGTATACTTCCCTTGACGCTGTGGTGTAGTGGAGGGTATACGCAGGTATACCCACTCATTTTTCAGTGGGCATAATCATTTCTTAATAATCCCCACTGATGCGTATCAAAGTAGTGTAGTGGAGGTATACGCCATATCAATGAATAGGGCTGATGGACCAGATCACAATGTTTAGCTTAAAATGTTGATAAACTATAATTTATTCACATTTTAGGCGCAACAATGTGCACATGGCGGTTGGCCTATGTGCGAATGTTCCTAAATGCAATTTGCGGGGGAAAAAAATATTAAATGCGCACTGCACATGAAAGTGGTTTCATGGTGAATAGAGATGGAAACATCCGTTAGAAATGTTGAAGGTGGGAAGATCTAAAGAGATGAAAGTTGAAAGAAAACCAATAGAACAGGAGAATGTATAGGCCATTGAGGAAGCCTTTATAAAATAATTGCCAACACATTTCTATGGTGGGATTTTGGCTATAGGCTACTTTGAAGCAAGATAGGACATGCCTCATAATATGAAGTAAAACGTCCAGGTTTCAAACAATTAGGGAACGGGAAAAATATAGCCATGCTAATAATAGCCTATGCCTACCTGGCAAAATGATATCATGATTACTTGCATCAATCCAGTGGCCATTTGTTTTGCAAACTCCATCTCATGTGCTACAGAAACACTGCTAACCAGACAACAGTACTAGGTGCATGTGCACTTGAATTAAAGGGTAACTGCACTCAAAAATCTAAATGTCTTCGATTTTTCCAGACATCAAAAGTGGTTTCCTGAGGAAGCAATGAGGAAGCATTGTGCACTGAGGAAGCATTGTGGTTTAAGCATTGTTATGGAGAAAAAAAGTAATTATATTAAAAAAGTGTGACATTAAGAGCAAAAACCTGAATAATAAAGAAAAATCTGAAACCTGTGAATTTCTGACTCAGTTGACAGCCTCATTTATCATTCAGTGGTAGGCCTACTATTAGCCTACTTGCACAGTACAGCTTGGGTTGGCCTGACTGTGAAAGACAAATATGGGATTGATCAATTTAGGTAATTCAGGGTGTATGTCACTGTTTCTCATATCATCTTTCACAAAGGGTGCCTTTCCTTTGCTGGGCGGGCCGTTTGGGAGATGTTTGGCAAAATTAGAGTACACCCACTTCACCAGGCACCACTACACCACTGCCTTGATGTAGTGATGCTGAATGTAAAAACTGGCTCAACATACCCCACTCTCCCTTATAGGCGCTACTCTCGCTAATAGGATAACATTTCCTGATATTATTATGGTGGTTATTTACGGTATCGCCCAACAAGTGTCGCACTTACGTTTTCTGAGGTGAGTTGCTGTGATCGTACTCAGAATGATCCCACTGACTGTCGAAATCTTGCAGCCCGACATCTGAATTCCTAGGGATTTCTTTTACTTGAGACTGATAGGCACCGTTGTGGTCCTCATATGTATTCATCGAGACGATTTGTTGGTCGTGATGGTCGGCGTCGCTGTACACCGTGTTATCATACCACTCTCCTCTCGGATTCTGTCGTCGTCTGTACAAAGCATCCGGCAGAGTCATACATCGGGTTAAAATTGGGGGATTAAAAAACAGGGTGTCATCGACGACAGTGGATGGTAACGGTTGAGGATCAACCTCCCACTGCTCAGATGCGCTCTCATGACAGTCTCTATTAGGTGGGGAGGAAACCGCTGCTGCTCTCATCACGAGTGTGTGGCTTCAGGTGTCTTTATCTCGTCCAGTTCCAACAGTCTTCTAGTGGTTCTGAATGACAATATTGACCAAATAGCTACCCATAAAACACCCTTGAGCAGTCGCAATACATTGACAGAGCAAATATCTCTCTCTCTCTCTCTCTCTCTCTCTCTCTCTCTCTTTCTATCTCTATCTCTCTCCCTATACAACTGATATAGGCCTAAATCTGGTGTAGGATATAATCCAATTCAATTGGGACCTTTTTGTAGGTCAGATAGTGGTAGCCTAATCAAAAAGGGTTTTCATTTTTCATCAACTCATCTCCGAAAAGCTTGACATAAACTAAACTCCTGTGTTATCTGTAGTGGAGTCGGTACCCGTATATAACATGTCAGGTGCACTAATTTCCGTCTTTGAACTGCCAAATCTTCTCTGATGAATTAGGGCTGTCTATTAAATCCCAACATCCTGTTGTGGGGCTTTGATCCACTTCAAAGGCGCAAACAGGGCTATCAAGACTGGTGTGTGCTGTAGTGCAGCAGGTTGCACATTATGCTAATCTAATGTAACTGCACACCATCCAAGCTAAAACAATTTTGTCTTTGCCAGAAAACATAACTAATTTGGCCCTACAACTTTCTCCTTTCAGCATTGAGGATTGAGAGATATTTCATTGCCGAACGTTTTATTTTAAGGATTTATTACTTGAACCTTATATGGTTGGGCCCTGATTTTGTGAGAATTCATAACAAATCATAATGTGTATGCAATCTTGCTTGCACCCTTTCATCTAATTATTTTCAATGGATTAGATTAGAATACAAAATATGTGCCTATATGGGTCGCATATGTAGCTGTAATGAATCAAAATAATTTAAGATGACAAAGAAAAGATGAAAGGTACAGAATGTGCTGGGAAAATCTGTTATCAACAACAGAGTTCAGATAATTTGAGTCCAGGTTATTATGGGGCCCATCTGGTTTAGCCTAATCAATGGCTTTGATTACTGGAGGAACACCTCTGTCACAGACAGTGCTGCTCCAGGAAATCAATTTCCACAAAATTAGACAAAGAGTATCATAACATAAATTAAGGCTACTTAACATACTGTATATTAGATCTCTGGGCCATGGGAATATGTATAATGTGTAATGGTTGTATAGGTAGGATTGTAAAGGGAACCAGTAAACTGCCCGAATTTTGGTAACTTTTAAGGACTTTATTATGTAATTTATCACAAGACATCTAGTGGCCCTTTCGGGTACTTCAGATTATCACAGGTGTCTGTAATTATCTCTGGCCCGCTGTGTGGCCTTATCAAATGTCAAATGTATAAAATAATCAAATAAGATGATTTTCAACTACAAAATAGAATGATGAAGCTGTAAAACATCCTAAATATAAACCCTCAACATAGTGAATACCATTGGTGTTTAATATAATAATATGCCATTTAGCAGACGCTTTTATCCAAAGCGATTTACAGTCATGTGCGCATACATTTTTACGTATGGGTGGTCCCGGGGATCGAACCCACTACCCTGGCGTTACAAGCGCCATGCTCTACCAATTGAGCTACAGAGGACCACTATGAACGTTTCAGGCCGAAATATAATTGATATATATTTTTTATACACTTATTTATTTTACTATGTCAATATGTCTTTGTTCTCAATGTTTTGGCGCCAAACTTTTGGCAGTTGTGAAAAAAATCAATAGTTGGAAGAGTTGCAGACTTAATTCAAAATAATGACATTGCTGATTATAAACTTTTTTCATTAATTAGGCTATTTTCTCTTGAACCATATGGTCTATCCACTAGAAACACATGGACAATATGGACACACATATAACAAATTAATATGAATACATTTTTTATAAGTTATTCAACTATAAATTACTATAGATTGCCATAGATTACCTGTTAATTGCCAAAATTGCAGAAGATTCCGCTAACTTTGGTAAATTACCGGTAGCTTTGCAACCCTGGGTATAGGCCTACATGCTGTAAACATGGATAGATGCAGAATGGCTGATAGTTAAAATGAACTAAGCTGCATAATACACGTATATCATCTATTGGTTAAATGTAGATATAGGGGCAATATTTACTCTTACCTTCATAGAAAATGTGTTGAAGTTTCCCAAAATGTCCTATTGACTCTATTAAAGATTGTCTTTGAGTATCGAAGGACAATATAACTGAACTCCCACATAAAAAGGCACAAAAAGACCAGTGTTCCAGCTTCAAAAGGACCTATAATCCCATCACTGTTTATAATGCTGTTTCAGCCTGTCTGAGAGGAACCTGTCTGAGAGGAACAGTGCACGCACACACACACACGCACGCACGCACGCACGCGCGCGCACACACACACAGTGGTATGGGGTTTAGTAATGAAAAAGTTAAAAATCTATTTATCATCATTTTGATATTGGATAAGCTGTCCCAAAATAGTTAACCACATCACCACAGGATTAACCTCATGTTACTGTTAACGTGATGCGACATTACTGATGCAGCTGAGGAATTTAATCTGAGTTGGTCCATTAATTTACATTTAAGTCATTAACAAACACTCAAGAGCGACTTACATTTAGTGCATTCATCTTAAGATATCTAGAAGGTGAGACAACCACATATCAGTCATAGTAAGTACATTTTTCCTCAACAAAGTTATCAGCAAAGTCAGTCTTAGTAAGAAATCAAAATTGCATTGCTGTAGTGGCCTACCAATTTCAAAGACAGATTTCAAAATGATTTGCCTACAGTATGTGAGGAATATTAATTAAAGGTTGTTGCCAATTATGTTTTTCAGCTCTCATGGAGTGATGGAGACCTTTGTTAGGCCCTATGAAATAGCACCCTCTATTGATCAACAAAACAACATATTGTTTGCTGCATGGATTGAATTGATGTAGCATATTGAATATATGCCCAGGATAATTGTCTAGATGGGTGTACATTTTATTGGCCATAGCTTACCCTACAGCCATTAAACTAGAAACTCTTTGTCGCGTTCCCCTGCTCAGACGTTGCATGCATCAAGCAATGGTTGCGTACTACTTCACCAACTGGGCTGTCGGGCACCAGATTGTTATAACATATGCAGGCGTTTAAATGCTGCGTTCATAACCAAGTCGGAAGGTGGTATTTACCAGTTGTGAAGTCGTAAATGGGTAGTTGACGTGATGCCCCCTTTTTTAAATTGGTTAACATGTTGGCATATTATTACAAGTGATTTTTCTTTATTTTTTTTCTTTACATGGATCACAAGTAAACTCATGCAATGAAAAATTTACATTCTTAAAATGTTGAACCAAACGTGATAGTCTAATGGTATAACTGTCACAGGTAAGGTTGTGGAACTTTGAACTTAAGTAAATTAATGAAAAAATTCATTAAATTCTGCTCTTTGCCTCTTTTAATCATAACAGAAGTCTATTTCAAGAAACAAAAGTCCCCAAGTCAATTCATGATATTTCCAAATAGTTCTCATTGATTACATTTAGTCACCAAAACCAATGTCCACTTGGTGTGACACGATAATGTGATTAAAAAACGGGTATGAATTCGGGCACCATTGCACAGGGGATGGTCCTCTTGCAATGAGGAAGTACAAAAGACATTGCTGGAGCACATGGTCTAAACAGACTGTAAGCTTTATAAGAAATATTGATAAAAATATTACACTTTTCTGCCAGTGCCATAAAAGGAGTCTGTTTCTTAGTCCTTTGGTGCGACACCATATGTGACATCAAATATGAAAATCATGAAAATAAAATATAATTGAAGTATAAAAAGCAATGAAAAACATGTTGTGATGAAATCAAATGAAAGGTTTACTGTAAACAATAATGTCCAAAAAGGAACATACAGCCTGAGATGTCCTATGATGTGACAGCCTTTTTCCCTTGGTGTGACATAAAGATAGTGTCACACCAGAGGAAATACTGTAGCTGTCACTCCGGGGGACATAACCCACTAATACACTTCTATAATGACCTTTTAAGGCTTATTTAACATCAAATAACACTTATTTGTATGATACCGGTACCTATTTGTATCCTTTTGCAATTTTGATCCTTTTAGGTGGTTCTGAGTGCAAGTTCTACATACTCATTCTCCCACACCTGGTTCTCACTCCCTGCACGGAGACTGTTTGCCCTGCCTTCAATATACCATGGCCGACCTCAGACCCAGTCGATCCGTTTATCTCAGTGGTCCTCCAATGGTATTCCTTTGCGGAGCATGGCACGCCCAGGCAGCGATTCCTGGGGCAGGAGCCACCCTGAGCTGGTGTCAGAGACACGTTGTGTTTCTCCAACCCTGTTGTTGGCTCCATAGTGTGGTATACTACTTTACCAACTCTGCAACAGGACACCTCTTGAAGGGCATCTTACCTCCCGCAGCTTCAGCTGTAGGTAGGTCGGGGCTTCCCACTGGGTGAACGCAGGGGGCACTGGTCTCCTCCATCACTAGAGGACTGTGCCCCTGTGCCTCGTTGTGCGCCCAAGTTAACCGCAATGTTGTTGGGGGATAACTGGTTGAGCCTCATAGTAGCATATGCTTGTCTCAAAGATTAAGCCAGCTAGCACCTTTAATGGGGATTCTGGGTTCGATCCCGGAATGGGAGCCTAAGAAACAGCTACCATACCCAAGGATTAAGGCAGCAGGCACGCAAATTACCCACTGCCGACTCGTGGAGGTATAGCAAAATAACAAAACAGGACTCTCTGTAGGCCCTGTATTTTACGAGGATCCATTGCTGTTGTTTAGAACTTTCATTTGACGACCTCCCGAGTGGCGCTGCGGTCTAAGGCACTGCATCACAGTGCTAGAGGCGTCACTACAGACCCGAGTTCGATCCCGGGCTGTATCACAACTGGCCGTAATCGGGAGTCCCATAGGGTGGCACACAATTGGCCCAGCATCGTTAGGGGAGGGTTTGGACGGTGGGGCTTTACTTGGCTCATCGCGCTCTAGCGGCTCCTTGTGACGGGCCGG